TTGTCAAATAAAAACATTTTCTCTTTGATAGGTAGCTCCAAAAACATTATACAAGTCCGGCGGTTCATGCGGCGTGTGCGGGGGGATGCTGGTGCAGTCTCGTACCAGCCCACGCAAACAGTCGCAGTAACGTTTGCCTCTACTCAGTTGCCAGAATACGTATATCTAGACCATTGGAGACACGAGGTCAGTCCATACGTTCCACCTGTTAAGCAGTGCCTACGTTGCATGCGTTTCGGTCACATTGCTAAGTTTTGTCGCAATAATGAAGTCTGTTCAATTTGTTCGACAAATCATAATTATAAATCTTGTACTGTTGATATAGAAAATGCAAAGTGCACTAACTGTGGAGGTAATCACGTAGCCATCTCATCCTCTTGTCCAATTAAAAAGCAACAGATCGAAGACAACAAAATTAAAAGTAGAGCTGTGCAGTATTCAGAACTGTTTAATGAAAAATCATTTCCCAAACTTGCCGAAAAATCGATAGAAACACATTTAAATAATTTATCAAAATCAGACTTATTTATGAATTTATTAGTAGAAACAATAATGAATATAGTATCTAATAAGAATGTACCTATAAATAGTAATACTATAAAAGAAAATTTACATAATACATTCAGAAAAATACCTTCCAAAAATAAAAATGGCTAACTTAAATATTGTACAATGGAATGCTCAGAGTTTAGTAAGCAGTAGGCTCATATTTACAAATTTTCTTTATGAACACAACATTCATTTAGCATTAATATCAGAAACTTGGCTAAGACCGAATCAACAATTCAAAATAAAAGGTTACAACATAGAAAGAAATGATTCTGATAATATACATAATGGAGTTGCAATATTAATTCGCAATAACATTGTTTATACTAAAATCAATACAAATTTTGATAATACTTTGCAAAATATTTGTATTCGTATTACAATAAGAAATAAAGATATATCAATTGTTAGCTTTTACAGTCCTCCAAATACTAATCCTGCCTTTAGTAAAAGCAAATTAGATTCTCTTATAAAATCTATCCCTGGTCCGATGATTTTTGCAGGTGATTTTAATGGTCATCACTCTTCTTGGGGCTGTAATTCCACAAATCCTCGTGGTCGAGATATTCTGGATATCATTGATGAAAATAACTTGATTCTTCTTAATGATGGGCAACCAACCACAGTTGGCTCTTTAACTTGGCGGCCCAATGCTCTAGATTTGACCATAGTTAGTCCTTCTTTGGCTTTATCTTGTGAATGGTCTGTTCATGATGATCCTCTCGGCAGTTATCATCTACCTGTAAAAACAAATATTAGTCTCAATGTCAACAACCAACAAGATTGTAATAACAATAATGTCATGGATGATAAGGTCACTTTTCCAATATTCAAAAATTTTAAACTGGTTGATTGGAAAATGTATCAATGTAAAGTTGAAAGTCTTTTATCTGAGTTTTGTGTTCAATCATACACCCCATTGGAGGCTTATACACTATTTTGTGAAATTCTTTATTCAGCCACAGAGTCTTTAACCCCTACCAAATTAAAATCCAACTCTACCAACAGAAAAACTGGCAAAAGACTCTCATTACCTTGGTGGAATAATAATTGTTCAGTTGCTGTGAGTAATTCTAAACAAGCATATATTACATTTAAAAATAATCCATCAGAAACAACCTATTTGGAATTTAAAAGGTTGCAAGCTTTAAAAAAACTCACCCTTAAAACTGAAAGATCAAAAAGCTGGGCTGATTTGTGTAGTTCATTCAATCGTTGTACCCCTCTTACTGTAATCTGGAAATATATGCGTAAATTCAATAAATCTTTTATTTTAAGTCATCCAGACTGTGACAGCTGGGTTTTACCTTTTCTTAAGAAATATACTCCTGATTATGTACCTACTCATCAGGACTGTTCCTACAATAGATCTCAATCAAATTCCACCAACCTCTTTTTAATAAAACCATTTACAATAACAGAATTGAAAAACGCAGTCTCCTCCAGAAGAGAAAGTGCATTTGGATTGGATGGTATCCCTTATAAAATGTTGAAAACTCTTAGTGATTCTAGTTTGCAGATATTTTTGAAGGTTTTAAATCATCTTTGGGAAAACAATGACATACCACCTTGTTGGAAAATAGATTGCTTGGTTCCTATTTTAAAGCCTAATAAGCCTAAATTGGATAAAGATTCTTATCGCCCTATTGCACTAACTTCATGTGTAGGAAAAATTTTTGAACAACTACTAAAGCAAAGATTGGAGTTCTATGTGGAAAAAAATGGCATTTTACCTTCGAATCAGTTTGGATTTAGAAGAGGTCGCTCATCTCGTGAAAGTATCTGCCAATTACAACTTGACATCCAAAATTGTCTAGTAAAAAATCAAACTATGGTGTCCGTATTCTTTGATGTTGCGGGAGCTTTTAACAGTGTCAATGTTGATGTGCTTTCTAATGAGTTAACTTCAGTGGGTATACCACCAAAACTTGTTCATTGGGTCCAAAAGTTCTTGTCTGAAAGAAAAGTTTTTGTTAAGAATAATGGTTACCTATATGGCCCACGGTTGGCTTCTGTTGGTGTCTGTCAGGGAGGAATTTTATCTCCTCTTGTTTTTATATTATATATCCGACGTCTCAACTTAATTCTGGGTGGACATGTCAAAAATTTACAGTTTGCTGATGACTTGGTAGTATATGCTTCCGATCATAAAATTACAAATTTAGTAAATAAAATTAATAGTGCCTTATTTAATCTTAATCAATATTTTACATACTTAAATCTTGATATTAACCCATTAAAATCAAAACTGCTTGTATTTGGGAAAAATAGATCTTTGATGCCTACTGTTTACTATAACAATGTTGCTATTCCAGTTTCATTAGACACAAAGTTTTTGGGTGTTTTAATAACTCACAACTTATCTTGGAAAAAATATATTGAACACATAACAACTAGGGCTAACAAAGCTTTAAACATATTAAAATCTTTAGTTTCTACATATTGGGGAGCTGATCCTAAGATCTTGTTGTTACTGTATAAGTCTTTGATTCGCAGCCATTTTGAGTATGCTTTTTTTTGTTTTGCTCATGACAACAAAATTGTAGATATCCTAGACAAAATTCAAAATAAAAGTATGCGTTTGATAACTGGTGCTTTCAAAAGCACTCCCATTAATGTTATGCAAATTGAGTGTAATCTTTCTCCCATTTCAATAAGATTTAGTTACTTAAAGGAAAGATTCCTTTTGAAGCTATTCTCAATAAACAATAATCAACTTTTAAAAAATATTTCATATTTATCACAATCACTGGCAGGTAGGCCTTTGTATATCATGCAAGGATTTCCTCAGTTCACTCAGTTTCTCGAAAATTCCAACATTTATAAGCCTTCAATCTTACCATGCTATGAAGGGCATTTTGAGAGCAAATTTCCATCAATTGACATAAATATCTACAAGGAGCTTTCTACTAAAGAGGAGGTGTTTGGTGAACTATCAAATTGGGTTGATCATAAACATATTTATACAGATGGCTCAAAAAATGATTCAAGTGCATCTTTTTCTTTTTACGTTAGCTCTATAAAATCTGGTTTAGGTTACAAGATAGACAAAAATTCCTCTGTATTCACTGCAGAAGCTCTAGCAATTTTGGCTGCTCTGAAACACATAAAACATCAAAATCAAGGACATAAAAAATGGCTAATACTTAGTGATAGCATGAGTGTGCTCAAAAACTTAGAAAACAATAAATTAAGTGCAAACACCAATTACATTATTCATGCTATTAAAGAAGTCTGGTATGATCTATACAATGTTGATAATATAATTGTAAGTTTCATGTGGGTTCCGTCTCACATTGGTGTAACAGGTAATGAAAATGCAGATTATCTAGCAAAATCTATCAATACTCTAGCTACTGAAACCAATACTCAGAAGATGTCTATACCTTATACAGATTTGATTGTTCTGCTAAAGGAAAGAATGCACCAAGAGTGGCGAGCCCATTGGAATTGTATAGTACAGGTTAAAGGTAAAGGTCTATGGTACACACCTCTTTATGTTGATGTAAACAAATTGCCATGGTTCTGCAAATCAAATAGCTTTTTGAATAGAAAATTCTATACGACGATTTTTCGCTTAAGGTTTGGTCATTGTCGGCTTAATTTCCATCTCTTTCGGTTGCAAATGGTGAATAATGCTCAATGTACTCATTGCAATTCCCAAGAAGAAACCCTAGCTCACATTTTCTTTGACTGCCCATCCTTCGGCATTCAGCGCCTTGTGTTGTTGGATGAGCTAATCCAAATTTATGGCAAACATGATTTGGTCCCGCGTTCCTTGACCGATCTTCTTGTAAATAATTGTACATACGTTCCTCTGTATAATTTCATTGCAAACACTGTTGAAGAAATATAAATATTCTGTAATATCGTTGTGTATTAGATTTTAAGGTTAAATGTTCTGCATACACAAAACGCTCAGTTAAGTTTAATAGGTACCGCATGTTCTCTTTCCTTTTATTTGTTTGAAAAAAATGTTTATTTTCGTAATTTTGCTTGTAGGTATTCTTTTTCGTTTAGGTCGTCGGTTTGAAACAAGTTTGAAACGTATCAAATGTCGTTGTTTTAAGTTTGTTTTTTCTTTTCTTATGTTTTGTATTAGGATTAAGGTATTGCATGGTATTGGTCTATGATTTATTTTTTGTGTAAATGTGTACTATAAAAAAGATATTAAATAAATATGAAATTCATATAGGATGTAATTAATTCATGATTGGACTGTCTAGTAAGAGAAAAAATTAAATGTTTGGTGTTTAAGATGTTCAATGTGCTCGGAAAAAAGCACATAATAATAGAGTAAAACAAAAAACTAGAAAATATACCGGAAATTATCAAACTGAGGAAGTTATATTGAATTTTAATAATAAAAAGAAGAAAAAATAACTAATGACGAGGCAGTATGGTCCCAGACCTTAGCCTGTCCGAAAGGACAAACGAAAAAAAAAAAAAAAAAAAAAAATGACAACAAAAATTTTGCGAAAAAAAAATAAGTAAATTCCTTCCTAAAATGTTTCGATTAATACAGTGAATAATTCTAGAAGAATCCCTAAATTAACCCTAACAACATCTGCACTGTGCTTGGCCATTTTAATGTACTAATGAATTAAATATGAACTCGTCACATTTTTTAAAAAGCAATATTTGAACGGTGCATAAAAATGGATGCTTCGGCATCACCCACCATTGATGCCAATTTGAATGGGGTTTACGGGGTTTTCCTACAGATCGAAAATTCTACTTTTCCAACAAACATAAAGAACAAGAATACGGTAATAAAGTACACCAAACTTCCAGCGTTTGACATTGATGCCAAGGGTAAGTAAATAATGTTATTGTTATATTGCTACCAAAAATTTACATAATTTGTCTATTGAATGGCTTTTACAAAGTAGATATAATCAAAGATTTTCCAGTGTCATGGCCCGAAAATGAATACCCATTGCATCCTCGTTTGCGGCGCATCGTTACCCTTGATGATTCTTCCATTTTAACCAGCCGGTCACTAAAATCAAACGTCGTAGCACCTACAAAGATGACAAACCCTAGTATAACCAAACGAAAAATTGTTACCATAACAGAGGATGATGAAACTGACCCTTACCCTAAGTTTTGTATGTATAAAAATGATATCAAATGTTCATCTTTTTAATGTAACCAACCAGATTGAAACATGATAATTAATCCTAAGATTGTCTTCCTTTTCTATGTAAATGAAATATTAATCTACAGTTTGTATGTTTGAGTTAAACCCACTATACCCATAAAAATATTTTCATATGCAATTTATTTATTTTGATAATTAGACAAATGAATCCTATTTTTTTATTTTCAGCAAGAGAAAGGAAAAAATGTAATAAAGCATCAGAAACTAAATTCAAGAATGATGTACAGGTTTCTCAACTCAGTGCATCTCGAATATCAAATTCACCTAATAGTAAGTATTTGTATTCAGTTTTTTACATTAATATGTTGGTTGTGTTTTTAATTTTTGTGGTACAGCTTGACCATAAAAATAAGAAACTAAAGGACAATGGGAAAAACGCACCCAGCTCTGCCAACAATGTAATTAGTATGAATCGATAGATCTATGAAAAACTAGCCTTTTTTATTATGACACTGAAAATAAATATCCTGGGAGTCAAAAGATATGACACCGTAAAAAATATCCTAGTAGTCAATAGATATGACACGAGGGCATATTTAAGTAGCTGAATAAATTCATTTTATAATACATTCATTTTATATTATTAGTAATCATAATAATATGCCATATCATACTATATAACCAGATATACAACAAAGCCTGCCGACCATCCTGCACTTGCTCTTACTGAGACATTTCAAAACGGTTTACGAACTTCGTTGTGATTGTGCGCTCCCCGCTACTCGATTGATTTTTATCTAACAAGCTTTGGATATTGGAACACGACTATCGGTTTTGTCAATTAGTATGGATAAACTAGAATTATGTGTTCTTCGAAGCGTAGACAAGTTTGTGTAATCTATGGTTGCTTCGTTTTACATAGAAGACTATAACGAACAGAATGTTTAAAAAAAACCCAACTCATGCAGGGATTTTTGAATATACTCTAGCACGGCAGAATAACATAAGGGGGCACCCCTGCACCTTATGAAGTATTCCCATAATTCCTGAGCGGACTATGTAGGGTTGAACTAACTAACTAGATTAATTCCCTTGTCTCATTAATGTTTGTTCGTTATAGTACTTCTACATATTTAACTTAAAATAACTAAAGACCCCATGGATGGAATTTGATGCACTTTGGCACAGATGATCTTGACTATAATACCTTTCAAACAAATATAGTTTAAGCCGTGGCGGATGTGGGTGCAGCGTCCATACATTTTTGCCCAATGTCCTTTCGAGACTCTGAAATTACTGTGTGTATTTCACATTTTTATTTAGGTATTATTTTAAGGTTATATTTTTATTATATTTTTTTTATTTAATCTTTATTGCCTTTACAATGCAAATGGCGGACTTAATGCCAGTATGGCATTCTCTACCAGTCAACCGGAAAGTAGGTGCAGAGAAAATAAAACGGCAGACAATGAACAGAGAAAACTTTAAAAAGCATTAATCACTTATACATACATATATAAATATGCATTCTAGCAACATATATAATAGGTACACACAAATATATACATACATAAATACATATCTAATAATAATATACAGTGTCTGATTATAGTATCCTAATTCAAATTCAAGCATTTTGCGATAAATTTAAATAATGTTTCCGCGCCAAAGACCTAAACGTATTCCTGTTTGGGGCGTTACGCACTTGTAAAGGAAGTGCATTCCAGAGCCGGATGGCAGAAAGGGTGTACGAGCTGGAGACAAACCCAGTATGGTGAATGGGTACTTCAAGTATTAAATTATCATTAGAACGGAGATTTAATTCATGGGAAGACCCCAGGAACTGAAACCGAGATTTCAGATATCCAGGGGTGCGTGGATCGTATAGTAAATTGAAAAGGGTAAGAACTGTCCTTAAGCACCTACGCTCCCGAATAGGTAGCCACTTAAGTCTATTGCGGAACTCTGAAATGTGGTCGTATTTACGTAAACCAAAGACGAAACGAATAGTGTTATTGAGAAGACGATCCAATTTCGTAAGAAATAGTTGATTTATATCAGTAAAACAAACAGCAGCATAATCAAAGAGAGGGTGAACAAGGGATTGTACAAGAGAGATTTTAGTACACGGAGGGAGAAAATTCTTGAGGCGATAAAGCGAACCAAGTGTTCCATTTACCTTGCGACATATGTTCTCTATTTGGCCATCCCAACTAAGTGTGTTATCAATTACGAGGCCAAGATTTTTTACTTTCGTAGAATAGGGGATCACTACATCGTTGAACTTAATGGCTGGAACTGTCTTCAAATGAAGCCGTGAAATTTGTCGAGAACTGCCAATAATGATCGCCTGACATTTGACGGGGTTGATGGTAATCCAAAAGTTATGAGACCACTCACGTATACGAGAGAGGTTATTTTGTATAAGGCTTAATACAAGATCAACTCAGTTTTTCATCTCTGATAAATCGATTTTATATTATCAACTAATTTCGATGATGATATATTGGTAGATACAGCATAAGGTTTGAAAAAACTGGCCAAGTTTATGTTGTGCTGCGCATAGTGTAGGGTTTCGGTAGTTGCCCATTGTTACCACAGAACTTCAATATCAGGAGGAGTATATATTTTAAAGTGCTCCTATACTCTTTATAAAAACATAACAAAGCACAAAGCCATTGGTACAGCACGAATCAAGAGCTGTAATAATATTTTATTGTGGTATTATGGCCATATTTTGTTTTACAAAGCAAGGTTTTACGTACTCTAAACAAGTAATTGCTCCATCTTAGTAACTTGAAATGTTTTTACAGTACCCGGCCATTTATAAGTCGCATCATGCTTTAGAAAGAGATACTCGGCTAGCTTCAGCTTCGTATAGCGTCGTCTTTGTCACCCTTGTCAACCTGATGTTTAGTTGCTGACTTGTCAGTCGTAGTTCAACGTCACTAAAGAGCAGTCGCGTTCTTCTTCAAATATATATACAGAGTTGCTAAAACCAACAGCAAAAAAATATTCAAGGCATCTAAAATTAAAAGTGGGAAACTTTGCAAAGGTTTCTGACAGTCTCGCGAAATGGTTTACAATATGTATAAATATTTCGTAAAAGAAAGTGATTTTTTTTAAAAATTAAGGATAATGATGGCAGTAATTATTTTATGAAGATTCAAGAGCGAGTTGCGAGTGCTACTGGAATTTCAAGAAAAACTGTCAGGAATATATTAAAAGAAGCTGAGGAAGCTGATATTGATGCACCATCCACCTCATTTAAGTCTAGTATTCCCAAAAAAGGGTGACCAAAAAAGCAACATCGTTTGGATTTGGATGATTTTGATTATGATGTTGTTCGAAAAATGGTGTATAAGATTTAATGAATTGCCGACAATTAAAGCGTTGAAAATCAAATTATCTGAGGCTATTAACTATAATGGATCTGAAAAGACATTGGGAAAAAATCTTCTAAGGGATGGGATTTTGGTTCACTAAAATGGAAGATAACAGAAAAGTTTTAATGGAAAAACATGATGTAAGAATTGAATACCTAGATAAAATATGCAATGAAGGAAAAAATATAATTTATATGGATGAGTCTTACATACATACATCCCACACAAAAGGCAAAAGTTGGATTGATGATAAAATAATAGGAGTAAAGAAGCCAATTTCAAAGGGTCAACGGTTGATAATAGTTCATGCTGGCAACGAAAAAGGTTTTGTTCCCGGAGCTTTTTTAACATATAAATCCACAGATACCACAGGTGATTACCACAAAGAGATGAATAATTAATACCTAATATAACTCCGTTCTGGTTATCGACAACGCACCTTATCATAACAAATATGTAGAGAGACCCCCAAATTCCAACACTATAAAATAGGAAATGATAAACTGGTTAAACACACATAACATTCTAGTTGATCCAAATTGGACGAAATCATAGACTTATGCTATTATATGACGCCACAAGGAAAATTTTACAGAGTTTTCCGTAGACAAAATACTTGTAGAACATGGGCACACTACGTTGCGATTGCCGCCATATCACCCGGATTTCAATCCTATTGAAAATATATGGTCTCAATTAAAAGGCTAAGTAGCCGCTAAAAATGTGGATATGAATTTGAATTTGCTGGAGCTGAGGAGTGGAAAAATGATTGTGATAACGCAATAAAATATGAAAATGAATATCCAAGAACTGAACATCATTTAGACAATTATACTGATAGGCTAGTGATAAATACGGTCGATAGTGACAGCGATGACGAGGTTAAGAGCTTACATAGTGATATGGAAGGAATAGAGAATTTAGAATCTGATTAGTAAAATGACACGGAGAGTCTTCGCATATCTATTAGTTTTTTGTATTTTGTTATTTGGTTGGAAAAAAATTATAGTTTTTCATCAAAATAAATAAATTAACATACATAGTACATATATGTTGTCTTTGACCTACATGTTTTCTTGTTGTATAAATAAAAAAAGTTTTAGCAGCTCTTAATAGATACCGGACTGTTAGTGTTTCGTGTGACAGAGATGATGCTCTACAAAGTCGAAGGTAGCCGAAGCTAGCCGAGTATCTCTCTCTAAAACACGATGCGACTTATAAATGGCCTGGTACTGTAACTGTTATGATTTTCCTTAAAAGTTCATGAAAATGCAATATTATCATGAATTTTTCCGGATTTTTCAAGCCAATAGTTTAGATTTTAGATTGAGGGGGGGAGGGGGCCCTACTCGCACAATAATTTGGACTTTAAGGTGTAATATTTCTTAAACGGATCTTAACGAATTTAAAGGACCTATTCAATAATACCCTACACAATGGGACAGACAATGAAAAAAATCTTTAATTGATCTTAAGGATCATGTCAGTATTTAGAAGTGTTGAAGTGTTTTAAATGATTGTATTGTGCTCATTGAATAAATTACAATGAATAAATAGACAGAACAAAAATTGTATTCTATAATAGAACAGAATGTCAATGCAGATTGATATAGCTATACCTACCCCTGTTTATGATGGTAAAGTAGTAAATTTTTCATGCAGCTTTAATACTTGAGTTTAATTGATTTTATATAATTGTAGTTAGTTCTATGTAATGTTAGCATTCTTATGTACTCGAAAGGTACTTTGAATAACAGATCATATTTGAGATTGAGACTTTCCCCGCACTTGTAAAATATGTAATTTATACTGTCATATAAATAATTAAAAAAGAAAGTTTTATATGGGAAAAACAAAATTGTGTTTAAAAGTAATAAGTATAGGTCGAAATAAAATTAAAAAAGCACTCGGGCGCCAGACCTACCTCAATATGTTCGTCATAAGGGCATTAAACTATTAATCGCAAGGGAGGTTGAAACAAAATTCATACTCACTTTGGGTGGTCTATATATTTTCCAATGGTTTGCCAATTTGATTTTTCTTAAATTTAGATGCTAGGTCAAATTATATTTATTTTACTAAAATTTTACATATAGTAATAATTTTATCTTACTGGATGAAGTACTTATTTGTATAAATTTAATATGCTTACTGTCCCGCTACATCTTTGTTAAGAGTTGAGTGTATGTGGAGATGGAAGCCTCGCTTCTTTGCAATTATAAAAGGGTTATGGCATGGTCCAAAATATTTTTTTCTATGATATATAGGGTGAAATTGAATGTTTCTATGAAACTTCGTGAGATTGTTGGGTTATGTGTATAGAGTATGCCTGTCTTTTTTCGGATTTTTTTGAAGTATATTTTTTTCATGTATTTATTTATAATTTGCGTATTTTTATGTCCGTTCCTCGTTTTGAGTAGTTATTCATTTTAAACAAACAAACTTACATATCCAGTGAAAAACAACTAATAAATAAGCACTTCTAAAAAACGGAAAAACATTGAAATTCCACTGCGGGTCAACGACCGACCGCGCCCGCCAGCCGTTGAGTAAGTAGCTACCTAACTCTACACAGAGCTCAACTGACTCGTTTGATTCCACACAATAGGTACAATAAAATCGTCTTAGATGCCTTTATTGAAATTGAAATAATAAGCACAAATGTCATCTTTTCTTAAGCAGAGAAAAACTTTAAAAGTTAATAATAATTTTGTCACAATTGGAAATAGGCAAATGTTAAACAAAAAGAAATACTTATTGCTTAATACCCCAAGAATGAAATTTATAACCAGGTATTCAAAAGTACTTACGAGACCGGCGATTTAGGTAGGTACAACGAGGAACGAGGAACATATTCATTTTTTCACTAGAACTTTTTATCAAATCAATCACACTGGTAGTACACAATTAGTTGTTTCTAATCAAAAAGTATTTACACTAGCAATAAAAAGAGACTTAAATTATTATCTGCAAATTGTTGCTCTAAACCACCATTTTGCTGCAAACAAAGGTTGCCTGTTTGCGGACGTGTCTTTTCACCTTTTTTAAAGTGTCCCTATCACTACTCACTGCACAAAATGCAACTTCTATGGTTTAGGGACTCATTCGTAAACCAAACCTACTTCGTCACACTCGCGATAGCAGTACACCATCTCTAAATATTCTTGGTTTGTATACCGAGGCATAATGAAATTATCACAGTGTATGTCACCAAGTCAAAAGATGCGCACGCTCACGCGCGATTAATATACTTGCGACTGCGTTTTGCATGCAATCAAAGCAAACGTCCGCGTGCGGGGAAGAGGGGAGGTGGGCGGAATTCACATCATCAAAGACGCCGCAACCGGCGCTAGTTGCCAGCGTGCGGCGCGCCGCCCGCCCGTGCTTGCCGCAAAACAACATATTATTATGTGTGTGTGTGTGTATGTGTGACTGTGGCTGTGATTAAATGTGTTCGGAATTTCATGACGTGGGCAAATCAGACACGAAGAGTTCCTTCCTTCCCTAAGCTCGTAAGTTATACCGATTTGCTCTTAATTTTAAGAAGATTTATATTATTGATTAATTACCTGTGCTTTATGAAATAATATTCAAAGGTATTGTGTATCAGTGAATAAATAATTATAATATAGCATCTAAGACTATTTTATTGTATTGTTTTTAAATAGTGTGGATCAAAGCGAGTAGGTAAGCGCCGAGTCATCTGTGCGTGTAGTTAGGTACCTACAGGCGGCCGCCGGTCGTCGCCCCGACCGGCGCTGATCTCGACTGTAGGCATAATGAAGGCATTCATTAAGTTTCCGTTTTTTTATTAGTTATTTTAAGTTGCTTTATAACTTCTATGTAGACGTGTTTAAAATGAATAATTACTCATAAGGAAGAAATGACAAAAAAATAACCAAATAAAAAATTATAACACGAAAAAAATTATTTTAAAAAATCCGAAAAAAATCAGGCATACTCTATACATGTAACCCATCAATCTCACGAAGTTTCATAGAAACATTCAATTTCACCCTGTATAAAAAAACTCCCACGGCGTTTTTTTAAGCAATAAAATAATAAAATTTAGAGGTCGACCACCATCTACACGGCAAACTTACGTCACCTGCATTAAAAATTATTGATAATCATAAGCATTATCTTTAAATGAAACTAGATTATGAAATTTACATCTAGTTACTTAAAAGTTACGTCGTGAAATGACGTTAACGACGGCAGGCAAAGGAATCAGAGTATACAAAGCGTTGTTAAGCCAAATAGAATAAAAAAAACGCATAGACCAGCGAAAACGACACAACCCAAAACAGAGGCCATCTATCTCTCTCTTCAACCAAACAAAACTCGTGTAACGTTTTTAACACGTTACAATATGTATTAGTTTTTGGAAAAAATTGTCATATGTACACAAAGGGAATAACTATTTTTTTGTTATGTTGCAGTAAGAGAAAGGAAGAAAATTTATAATACAAAATCATCAAATATAGTTCCAGAAATCAAATTAAAGAATGATGAGCAGGTTGCCCAGAAAACTGTGTCTAGATTATCAAATTATTCAAAATGTAAGTAGTTCAAAGTAAAATCCTACTAATGGTATCTTATCCTTTATCTTGCATAATGTATTTCCCTATGGGGAGTCGAAACCAGGGTCCTTGGGAGAAAACAGTGCTGATGTTGTAGCAACTAGTAGTCGAGTATCATATCATTCAAACAACATTGGGACACAATTATTTTATAAACACTATCACTCTTTTAAATGAATGGAAATAACTTACCTTTAGACATGGGATGAGTACCTGGTTTGGACATGGTATGGGGCAGATCTGACACTTGTTTAGGACCTGGCCGGGTGGCAGGTATCAATGCAGGGTAATTTACTAAGGGGAAAAAGAATGACTAATATTAACTGAAAAAACATTTATTGAGCAAGTAAAATACAGACAAATGGTTCTATGGTGTCATAAATATTTCTAATTTAAAATTGGCAAATTTTTATTATTTGCTGAGTACCCGGCAAAATCATTACCTGTCCCAAGTCTACTAACTATATTTTTGTGAGACATAAAAAATTCAACTTATTTTATTATTTGTTATATTGATATTTTTTGAGCATTTAACTACTAGATGTGTAAATCTAATCTATCTATTATTTTCCAAAAACAGATAGTAAGGAGAGTAAATCAAGTGCCAAAAATATTAATACAAATACTAATAAGAAGGACATGAATGTTTCAAAAGTGAACTATAAAAGTAAATACTCCAATGTTAGTCAACCTCCAGTAGACGTTCCTAAAACACGTCCAGTGAAAGGTATTTTTTATGATATTTTACCTATTTATATTGTGGCAGCATGTTACCCTAAACAATTAGGTGTCATTTACTAGAGATGGTGGTGGTGACCTCCAAGGATGACACGTGCTACCGCGTGAATTTCCACAAGGTGATACGCAGACTAACTGGCTAGACGAGCATAATGTGATCGACTCGATGACTTGCTGTCACGTATTACCCTTGAATATCGAGTCTGTTGAGGCACGCTATAATAATAGGTTGGAGGAAACTTTTTTTCTTATTATATGTATGAACTTGTAATAAAATCTTTTTGTCTATACCATTTCTATCTGGCTGGTTTTGATATTATTAAAAAGTTTAAATTTAAAAAAAGATAATTCCAAAATCAAAATAGAAAAATGTGTGATTTTCATTCCCTTTTCTTACTGTCAAGATGAGTGAATCTTATTAAGAAATTCGAAGCATTAGAAAATTTTACTAAGAAAAAATTGCACGCAAGCCGCGAAAAAAAATTGTGATGTTTATGGACCTATTGCATTGTCTGTGAGAGTAGCACAATTTTGGTTTAAGCGTTTTCAATCTGGAAACTTCGATGTCAAAGATACTCGTCGCTCTGGTCACCCTGTAACGGATAAACGGATGCCATTTTTGAAAAAATTGAGCTATGTCGAATTATCAGTATTTACGACGTAACTGAAAAATGACTGGTTGAAATTGATTTAAAAAGGCTGGGTTCACAAAAAAGCTCTATATTTCGGTGCCTCACGAGCTCACTGAAAGAAACCTAATGAATCGCATACTCAGTTGTGATTCTTTACTACGACGTAAAGAAACCGAACCACTTTTGAAGAAGCTGAGAAGCGGTGATGAAAAGTGTATCACGTACGACAAGAACGTGCGAAAAAAGGTAGTGGTGAAAGGCCGGTCAGGCTTCACAGACTGGCGAAACCCGGGTTAACTCTCAACAAGGTGATACTGTGTGTATGGTGGAATTGGAAGGGCATTATTCATTCTGAGCTGGTACCGATAGGCAAGACTATCGATTCTGAACTATATTACGAACAACTGATGAGATTAAAGAAAGAAGTTGAGAGAAATCGGCCGGAATTAATCAACAGAAGGGGTGCTGTTTTTCATAATGATAACGCTAAACCTCACACATTTTCGACACTCAGCAAAAATTAAAAGAGTTTGAATGGGAGGTGTTAATGCATGCGCCGTATATAGTCCTGACTTTGCAACTTCAGATTTCCACCTGTTTCGGTCTCTTGAGTATTCTTTAGGCAGTGTCAGGTTAATATTACGAGAGGACTGCCAAAACTACTTGTCGCGGATTTTCGTTCAGAAGCCCCAAAATTTCTATAGCAATTATAGAATGTTGTCTATATAGGATGTTGTCCTTATCTACAAGATGGCAAAAAGTTATCGAACAAAATGGCACCTACATACTTTAGTTAAATGTAATAAGACTATTAAAAAATGATTTTCATATAAAATGCAAAAAAACTTTTCCCCAACCTAATAATACCGTCACTTATCAAACCGATTAGCGCAATCTGTCGCGATCTATAAGTGTTTATATGTATAAAAAATGACATACGATCATCATGGCGCGATTTCAGTCGCTAGCCCGAATACGAATGCCGATAGAATTCGGGTAAACGACTAAGTGTAAATGAACGGAGTCGGGTACGCCCATATTCGGGTAGATTTCCTTTTGTTTGCTCATACTAGCATCAAATAAAATATGATCCGACTCAACTACATAAGCAACTCTCACATGCGCACACTTCTGTAAATAAAAATCTAGTCAAGCGCACGAGACAGAAATGTACGCTTCAACGCAGAGCGAGCGAACGGCGCGAGTCCGCGTCGCTTTGCAGCCAACTGCGTTTTCTCTTCTCTGTCTACAGGCTAAGTTGTATTGTTGTCCTTTTCTTGATAAAAAATGGCGAACCAGTAACTAAAATTCATGGCAAATTGTGATTTTTGAGAAAAAAGTGTTTTTATAGTTTTACGAATAAAAAGTGTTGCCGTGACATTTGTTATTTGATCTTGAACTATTTGTGTTCTTTATAAAAGCATCGAAGGCATTGTTTTATATTTATAACACTAAATATATATTCAATATTTTTATATTGAGTGCACCTGCATCGTGTTTAGATCACAGACATATAATGCTATAGCAGACGGAACATAAAACCTAATTATATTTATGAATCAAAACATCAGATCTTTTATCCTTTTTGTACTCAGCTACAACTCGATAGTGGCATCTCATTCTTCCATCTATTGCAATACTGACTCACACATCAACAAATGTCAACGCCTTTTATTCCTGGCCGCCATTTTATTCATGACTTATCGGACATGCGTCTTTTCGGTGTTTATTAAGAATATTGCTTTGATGAAACTATATTACAAAACGAGATTATTCAATTACTATGGTCAAGTACAGTGCGTATCGATGTGAAAGTGCTACCTACAATAGAACACCAGGATTAACGTTTCATCAGTAAGTTTTTATGTGTCTTTGTTGTGTACTGAAATGTCTTTGAGTCTTTTCGAAGCTTATTTAAATATTATCGTGACATGTAACATTTTTTACGTAGGATTATTTATCTAAGATACTAACGGTGAGAACTAATATCCTAAAAGTAAAGAAAAAGAAGTAATCAGGATAAATCATGATAGGAAATTCCAATTCTGACAACTGAAGTACCGTTGCCATAACAGAGGACGGACTCGGTATCAAAGACAAAAAGTTTCTCGGCATTAATTTTGTTTGCATTGCATTATATTTTGAATGTGAATGCAATCAAGAACGTAAATAGATAGGTACCTATTACAGACTAGCTATTCATATTTCTTGGAACATCGGCATCGGTAGGTATATAACCCAAATAACCACCTAAACAATTTTGTTCTAGGTTTCCAAAGGATGAAAGTACTCGGAATGCATGGTTAAAATATATGAAACGTCAGGATTAGCAACCAAATACTTATAGTGTTTTAAGTGTTTTTTGTATTAAAATAAACAAAAGTAATGATTTTAATAGTTTGATTAAATTCGTATGTGATTATGTCGATTATTCAATATTTGACTCTAACAATCCAGATCATAACATAAACCATGTCCACTTGCTTATTAAAGTTGTTGTCAAATTTTATTTTGATCTTAGATGTAAACATCAATGTAAAGAAACTTTGTTTCTTTATCTTTATCTTTTCTTTATCTCTGAGAAATTTTCTACAAAAACTTCTACAAAATAAATAGATAAAAACTATGCCTTAAATTTTTATTTCAATTTTCCTAATTGTACCTATGTCCTTTCCCTGGGTTAATTCTGTCTCCGTGCTCAATTTCATCATTATCGGTTCAGCGATTTCGCCTGGCTAAATTCGCCATGAAGATATTAGACAGACAGATTTTTACATTTATAATATTATTAGCATGGACATCACATTAGGACCTATCTATTCAGATAGGTATTTCATGAAACAATAATGAAATCCATTATTCTACTACACTAAATGCGATCCATGCTTTGGTGAGTTTCAATGTGTGTGTATTTGCCACGCTGTTTAAAACTGAATATTCCGTCTGCTATTAGTTATATGTCTGTGGTTTAGATATCCAATTGTGGTCATGCACCACATTTTAAGCGAATCACTTTTGAGCCGCGAGTGTCGTATCTTCCCTTTTTGTTTTAATCTAAGTCAGTAGGCGATTATACAGTACACATCCTCTTCTCTTTCTTCCAGTGTTCTTTTTGCATGACGCGACTTATACTTAGGTTACATGGTGTAACCCACATGTCCTGAATGAACTTTTCTCGCACTATTGATTCGAAAATAATTGGTATAGGTAATATCTATTTAAGTCCCAAAAAGCAAATTAAAGATAATAAAAAAAAACTTTAAGAAAAGTCGGAAAATATCGTGTCATGACATGACAAAGTAGGAGAATCTGCTACTTTTATCTTTTAGTATTCGCTGGGTGTAAAGTAGGTGGTGGTAGAACCACAAATCGATCGCAACGCGCACCTTGACCAAAAAGGGGACTTTCGGCAGATCAACTGTCACTTTTTAGTAGCGAAATTTACGTATCCGTGCATTTTAAGTAAAAACAATTAAGAATGCGACACGAAACCTGCTGCGTACCTAGTTAACTGCAAGAACAATGGCAAAAACAGTGATCACAGATTCTATTTTCTACAAGCAAATTGTAAACGATAACAACGTTAGAATTGGATAATCGCTGTCAAAAGTAAAAAGTAAACTAACTTTTATAGCAACATTTCTAATATATTATTTCGTATTTTGTAGGATAGCACTTCACTATGCATTTACATCTTTCACATGTTGAGTCAAAACTATTTTTTTTCCTTTTTTGTTATTGTTCGTGGCGGTGAAAAGCGATTTCATGTGTGATTGCTATGAATCCAGTTTGTATAATTAATTTGGCCATGCATATAAAAAGTCTGCATTATTAACGCCACTACAGTTATAAATGATCGTCTGCAATATATATGAAATGCGTTATTCGATTAAATTTGTTTATTTCTTTACATAATTCTCGTGAAGTCAGCTATAAGAAAGCCTATAACTTTATTAACGACACTATATATTTCCATTATTGAACAGAATTTATGAAAATTATTAATTATTTATATATTTCATTGAAATTATTTGTTTCTTTATAAAATAATCGTAATGAAAGCCATTTGACATATCAATTCCGCCGTAATTGTAACCGCTAGTTTAGTACAGTCAATCTGTAGGTTGAGTGGTGAAAAAAAAACCTAAAGGGTAAGACTTGTTTTTTCTGTTGCCAAATGACGTCAGTAAGCTACCTTGGCGATGGGCATTTTTTGTTGTACGAGATTGCAACAATGACATAAATTGTAGCACTCAATGCCCTCTATAATTATGGTCGAAAAAGAGTTTCTAAAATGCATACAAAACAAGAAAAATGCGTATCAAAAAATTTTGACGGTTTTTTTGAGTTTTTCGAAAAACGCCTACGAGTTGAACATGCCCATCGCCAAGGGGGCTTACTGACGTCATTTGGCAACAGAAAAAACAAGCCTTGCCCTTTAGGTTTTTTTTTCACTGAAACGATATTTTTTTCTATAGATTGACTGTACTAGTTGGCACTGTCATCGCCCACCCATCGAATATCCTGCTTCCTACTTATATTATGAATGTGACAGTTCGGCTGTTTGTTAATCAATCGCGCAAAATCTACTGAACGTAATTAGATATAATTTCCAACGCATATCTATACTAATATTATAAAGCTGCAGAGTTTGTTTGTTTGTTTGTTTGAACGCGCTAATCTCTGGAACTACTGGTCCGATTTGAATGATTCTTTCAGTGTTGGGTAGTGGTATCGAGGAAGGCTATAGGCTATATTTTTTTTTTCAAAATTAGGGATTCGTAATAAAATTGCTATTTTGTAACACAAGGTGTAAAATCGAAGACCTGTTTTTGTGTGCGCTGCAAAAACTATTGACAATAGAACAAAATGATTTACCACGGGTTTGTAGATCCCATTAAAACCTACAAAAAAGTCCGCAAGAACATATATATATGTTGGACATGGTTTAATCACAATAACCGATTTTGTGTTCAAAATAATTATTAAATCGTCTGAAGAAAAAAAAACTACGTTAAATATGTATCGTAATATTAATCTTTATCGAAATTAAGCATTATGTTATCAAGAGTATTTATATAGAAGTAAAATACTTTTTGGTTCATCTCAATCGGATATTTCGTTTAAAAGTTATCACGTGTGTAAGATGTTAAGAGTTGGTACCTATTAATGAGTTATGGGCCATAGAGTTTTTTATCAACATAAAATCCTGTAATAATCTTTTTCAAAATATGATTTAAATATTCAATAGTCCATTTATTGAGGGAGGCTATAATATAGGCAATATTTTATCTCGGTATTTCCACGGAAACGAGAAAACCGCGGGTGAAACCTCGGGGCACGGCTAGTAATTTATAACCTGGATTGAGGCATAGGATACATTTTGGCCCGGAAAAATGTTACGTTCCTGTGGGATTCCCATAAAAACTAAAGTTAACGTGGACGTAGTGGCGTGCGGCCGCTAGTTATTTTATATAGTTTTTTAAGAAAAAAGTAAGATATAATTACATAATTTTGTAACTTTGAACGACCCACACAATAACCCTGCGCTTTCCGTATCCAATGTCCCCCAACTCGCTTGAAATCGTCAGTCTATCAAGGGGGCTCTTGCCGTTGTAAGGTCTCCAATTCGCGATTTAAACACCTTGAAACCCTGACATCCATTAGTTCGCCGAACTATGTGCCCCTCATCCAGTACAACTTCAGCTTGACAACCTTGATTGATGAGCTTTGTCGTTTACTATGGTTTTTCTACGGATTTCTACATTTTTCTGAGTCGATCACTTGGGTTAATGAATGTTTTAAACAAATTCATTTTAAGTCTAATAAAACCTTGTAGTTCTCCTAAAGTGTGAAATAGTCCAATCAGTTAATAGAAAAAGGTCCCACATTTTTTTAACTCTTTTGTAACATCCAGTCATTATATTTGTATTACATCTTTTATCTATTAGACAAGTCCATCCGTCTGTGGTGCTGTTTCAGCGGCCAAACCGTAAGAGATAGATAAAGAGAATATTTAAGTTATAAGTTAAGAATAGTCTGATAAGACTACAAACCGGATTTGAGTAACGTAGCACTTCCGGTTTTCGAGAAATCACGAATTTCAAACGAAACCACACAAAATCTCCGAAGTTCTCAATTAATTAAATACATTTTTTTTTAAATCAGGTTTTGGTGGACATTTGGTTCACTGGTTTTTCACAAACAGAACCACCAGGTTTTTCAAAGACACTCCCGACATCTATATTGCTAGTAACAATAAACATTTTTAAAGATAAGTCGACTTATATGTGTCTCTCTTATGCAAGTAACTAGCGGCCCGCCCTCGCTTCGGTGTAGAGCTGAAGTGTAGACTACAGTTTTTGTTCTCAGGCTTGTATTATACACAATGACATTCATCTATGATTCTTCTTATACCTGCATGCAAAGTCTCAGCCCGATCGGTTTAAAATTGACTAAGTTTCATACAAACTTTCATTCCCTATTTTATCCCCTTGGGGGTAGAATTGATCAAAATCCTTTCTTAGCGGATGCCTACGTCATAACATCTACCTGCATGCCAAATTTCAGCCCGATCCGTCCAGTGGTTTGGGCTGTGCGATGTTAGATCACTATGTCAGTCAGTCACCTTTGAGTTTTATACATATAGATTCTATGAATTCAAGCATCAAAGCATACTGATTAACATTGTTTTTTTAGATACATTGAAATCAAAAAGTAGTAAAACGCCTTCAAAAGTTAACCTAAGTAAAAATCAAGAAACTTCAAGAGTAAGTGATAAAGAACAATTATTAAACAAGGGTAGAGCAGTGGAAAATTATAGAGTAAATAATAATAGCAATAAATCATCAGCAGAAAAATCCTATTTATCAAAAGTAGCAAATCAGTCAACAAAACAAAATGCTACCTTGTTAAAAGAAATAAGCAAACATAAACCCGTGACAGTTATACATGTTCCACTCGAAGCTCAACATAATAAAGGAGATCTTTGTGAAAATCAAAATTGTTTAAAACTTCGATTAAATCAGAAAACGAAGTGCACAGTGAATTGTAGTACAGAAACAGTAAATGATTACTTTTCTAATGATGTAGAAACAGAAACACCACCATTTAATATAAAAGACAAAGAAACCCAAATAGACAAAGAATCTCAAATCTACAACAAACAAATTTTTTCTTGTAAAAGTGTCGAAAGTAACGTTCAGACTGACTTTGTTGAAGAAATGTTTGATAGTCTTGCTGTACCAAATGTTACCTTAACGAAAGATAAGAGTGGCACCAAAGAACAGTTTGTTAATTTGCAAAGTAAGTCATTACCTAATCTTCATGTACCATCCTTAAAGATAACACCACATAAAAACGAAGGGAGCAAGGATTCTAGTTTTTGTAAAGGTTCCTATTTTATTGGGCATGCTACATTGACATGCACCACCAGGCAAAAGATAAACTTTCACGTAGTTGGTAATAATAATGAAACAATGTCTAATCAATCACCTAGTCCATTAGCATATCCTATAAATGTGGTGTCAATTTTTGAAAAGGAAATGAAAAGACAAAAGCAACATAACACTTCAGATGACCAGCATAAGGCAAATGTCGAGTACACTGATTGCATAAATGAACTACAGTCGCTTAATTGTTCCTATGTACTCAATAGCAATAAATTGGTGAAACCGTCGGACATCATCAGCACAATAAAAATTAACAATGGTATATTGCAAAACGAATACATTTGTGAACAGTTTCAAAGAGAACTCAACTTTATTGATTCGTTCTTTGAATCACTGCAATATCTAGAGAATTGTTCTCTAACTGATACATGCTTCTCAGATAGAAAAGTTGATAGTCTAATTAATAATCCTAACTTTGATGTGAATCATTCGGAGTATGGCTCTTTCATTTCAAAACTTGAAAATGGCGCCAATGTTGACGATTGTGAAACAATGGCATCCAAGAGTCTTTGTTTGGTGAGTTTTGTTTTTAAAATTTTTACTATAAACACTTGCAGACAATGAATTAGTCGCAATCTTAGATCACTAATTAAGAGCATTTTAGTTAATCCATTGGTTGTCTTTAACAATTATTGTGTACATTATTTATTGTGACTTATTAAATACATAGTTATTGCCGGAACAGTTATCAACTAATCAGCTGTCTATTACTTTCAGCTCAACCTGCTCATTCGTGATGAACAAAGGCGAGCAAAAAATTTATTATTTGTATTAAAAATGAGAGAAGATGCTCTCAAAGACTTCACAAAATCTCAGATATTGTGGTTAGAAAATAAGAAAAAACAGGAAAACACTGACATTTCTACCTTGAAAAAAAAGCAGCGTGGTGCACTTCTCAAACTGCAGCATGAGTGTGGGGAAATGCAGCGCATGCGAAAAGCTCTCTTAACTCAATCGGAAAAACGAAAAGTGGCGCTTTTAAAAACTAAAAAGAACATTGAGCTAAAACTGAAAAATAATGTGGATGTTGATCAAATTATATTGGGTAAAAAAAAGGTGAAGAGGAACGTGATCGATCGCAATACGACCCCACTTAAATGTTTTGACTTATCCAGCAGTGGGTGCGAAGAGAGTTCAGCGTCTAGGCAAAAATCTGATATTCCGCCAGTACAGACTCTGGCTCCTATAAACGTAACAAGTGCTGAAAAGTGTATACAAACAGGGGAGAGCAAATTGGATGTTGCTCGATTAGAGCCATCTACTGACACTGCAGCAGAAAACTTTGTGATGGTCGATGGCGGGTACTTGAATATATTATTCCACAATCTATCAGTGCCCGAAATATTCAGCAGCAATAAACAGTACGAGGTGAACGAAGAGGCTCTCAGAAACATTGTCAGTTCCACAAACACAAACCATAATTTGAATGACATAGACATTGAAAGATTTATGAACCAAATTAAAAATACAGATTTGGATTCGAGCAGTCCGTCAACGGCTCGTAGCCTGGTTGAAGAATTAGACCAGTATTACAAAGGGCTCGTCGAAGAGAAATTGACTACTGATTTTCCTGTTAATGACGCTTGTTCCATGACTGCAGAACCATTGGTTGATTCGAAGATGCAGCAATGTGAAAGTACTAGTTTTCACAGCCTGTCTACAGTTATGAATGATAGTAAAGTGAGCGTGTCGAACAGTCGGAGCCCTTATAAGGAAGATAGGCAATGTTTACATGAATCTAGTGATGTGTCTCATTTGTCTATCGAAAAGGAGGCTGCTATGACGTTAAGGCCAGCGGGGCCTTTGCCAGTACCAGCGGGGGCGGCGGCTGGAACGGAATCTCAGAGTAGTAACTTACCGCTGTGGGGCAATGCTGAAACGTCATCATCCTTCGTCGCAGGTATGAATGAAACTTTCTTTACTTTCTTTAAACGTCATCCTTGTCACTTTTATCATAGTAGTACCTATTTAGGAACAACCTGCATTTAACACGATAGATATTTCTTTATCATCATCGTCTGCATATAAATATCCCCATTGCTGGTGCACAGGCCATCCCGAAAGCTATGGAACAACACGAGCTTATTGCGGATTGCTGTGTGATAACGACTGCTGAGGCAGCCGGGAGTAATGGCTCGAGATATTAGATATATGGTCATCCATCCGATGACCGGTCATTACGAAAGTTGCTTAAAATTCACGATCGCAGACCGAACGCGCTAACCACTTGCTTCGACTAGCTCCTCGCATGATACTCGATTATCTTGACTAATCAGCAGTATCTTAATTGAATTCGTTGTCACCTTTACAGATGTGTCTGGTGTCAGCAGCCAATTAATCTGTGCGAGCAGAACTGCGATGTCGATACCATCACAGTCCGAAGCGGAAGAACTGCGAAGGAAACAGTTGGCCATCGAAAGAGAGGTATTGTAGTTTATTATATTTTTATATTTTAAAGCATTTAACAGTATAGTTTTTAAATAAAAAAAATACTTGAAATATTCCTTGCGGTCTAGGAAGCAGACGATAATCGAACCCTCCGCTATCCGGGCGGATGCACTGACCCATTATTCTACCACGACCTTAATGACCGTGTCGAATTTGTTCTAGTATCGCTTCTAGATAGCTTAGGCTGCAAGGCAGCGCCATCACTTCGCATTGTAGGTAACAATTTAAAACAAAAAATAAACTTTAGAGAGGTATTGTGTTCATTTGGAACTGCCAGATGCAGTAATATGATTTTGGTTTCTTGTAAACACGTCAATCCCGTAATCGCTTCCGTAAAATTTTCTTTCGCGATATATATAGCTTTTGTCCATCCCCTATAACTTTTTTTAATCTTTGGAGCTCTGGCGATTGGCAACAAGTAGGAACTCTACGCTACTGAAAACTGCTTCGCAGCCTCATGTAGTTGCAGGGGTGCAAAATGTGCTGCACTATAAAAGGAAACTTGCTTGCACACCTTCTATAATTTATTAAATTATCCTGTTATTGATAAACCTTTACTATCCGAAAACTAAACACCGTTTTATGTCATTCTCTGTTATAGTGAGAAAATAAGGTTTCGAAAAGCGAGTATTTTTCCTATCACTGACTTTGGGCATTTTAAATCTTTTCTTTCTTTCCACTTTAGTGTGTTTTCAATTGTATTGGAGTTACAGACAAAATTCGATTTTTATTACTATCCAACGAAATAAGAGTCCTCTGATTTCGAACTTATACGTTGGTGTATTGGAAGATTATGTAGGGCCGTATTAATAGAACGCAACTCTGAGAGCATTCTAAAGTACGATCTTCAGAAACTGTTTCAATACAAAACAGAGTATCAAGATCGTAGTCAAGATTGCTCTACGGGCTATAGAACACATTGCGGATGGCAAGTGTCCACAAGGTGTATAGCCTTCTGAAATATTATCCATGATTTGCCTGGTCCGGACAAGGCCTGCCGAAGACCTAGATCCTATTCGGCAGGAAACATCATTAATGACCTGATGATTTCATGAGTTCAAATAGCGCTAATGATCGCCAACCTTACCGACATAATAACATTAACATATTGATTTCTCATATTTGCACGCACACTTTTATATAAAATACTTTTTGACCGAATATAAAACGTGATTTATTAACTTTCACGACTTCTGACATTTCGGATTCCACACAGCCCACGGCCACGGAGAGATCCTTTATCAGAAACGCCAGAAACAATGAAAGAAGTTAATAATAGCACTTTACCTATACCTATTCAAAGCGGTTTATTTAAAAAAAACGAGCGAGCCTTACAGTAGTCGCGTATGATGTGTAACATTTGAAACCTCACCTTATATTAGTAAAAAGAGAAATAAAACCTACTACAAAAGGAATAAGCCATTTGAACATTATGTTGTAAAATCAAATCAAAGAGTGCGCGCTTTCGCGACTTAATGTTACACACTTCCGTCTCATTTCACGAAATTACTCCCACAAATTGCAGGAAAGCGAGAGGAAAGATGTTACACAATATTGATACGTTTAAAAATACGTACCTATCTATTTCAGATCAAAGCTTTAGAGCAACAGCAGAGTCAGTTGCTAGTCGTACGCGAGATTCCTGACAAACCGCCGCCTCCTTACACACCGCCGGCGGAAGCGAAAGCGCCGCGTTTGCCACGCAAATACGTCGCCGACGAAACCACCGAAGAGAAGATTCAGATTTACATGAGGGACCCAGAAACGGCCTGCGACCCCACCGACGCTTTTGATTCATTCGTCAAAGACTTCTGCATAGAAACACTGGAGAAACAGATGCTGGACCGTAGTGATAAACCCTGGGACACCTGCAATCTGTTACCGCAGAAACCGCCTGAGGACCGAGAGAAGCTTATCAAGAGGACATCGTCGAACCTCCATGATATTTTGACGGGTGTCGGGCCTGTTGTTGTATCTGGTAAGTGATTCTAATTCTTTTAGTTTTGTTTAAATTACTGGACATCTTATAACCAAAGTCAATCCCATATGTGGATTCTTTGGGGTGTAGCCACAGGCATTAATCAATATAGATAACGCAAGAGTCTGTAATTCGCGTGCCAAAAAGGCAGACCAACGGTGTACAGCCTTTTTACGCTAGTTTATTTCTTCGCGTTACCGTTTTGGATACCGGATGTCAATCGCAATGTTAAAAAATATCAATCTGTGTTATAATATGCTGTAAAAATATATAATGGAAATGGGTGACCAGAGCCCATGCTGTTTCACCACTCAATTTGTTCTCGTGAGTAACGCTCGCTTTCCATTCAATTTAAATGGTGGACCCACTTAACCCTTGTAACGCAGAACTTTTAATGTTATTATATTATTATGCATATCATATCAGCAGATGGCATAAACTTCATTTCGCAAAAAAACATTTGGCATTCACTCATTTAGCAGACATTCGAACGCATAATTTTAAATAATTAATAAGCAGAACCAATATATCGCAGAAAGTTCACAGTCATAATCGTCTTTTGGCATGCAAAAATTTCATTTTTCCTTATTTATCTTTTATTATTGGCCCGCCCTCGATTCGCTTTAAGTTAAGCAACTTTCGCAGTGGTCGGTCATTGGATGGGTGACCAAAAATTAACTATCTCGAGCTTCTCGGTGCTTCGGAAGGCTAACGTGCCTTGACATGACATTTCAGACTCGCAAACGTTACGAATTCGATATTGGTTCGTGCTAAGGGTACAGATCTAAAATTACTTGCAATAGTAATAATAGGGGAAAGCAAGCAGGGATTATGGGGGTTATTCGAGTGCGGCAGAATAAAATAAGGGGGGGGGGCAACCTTCCACCTCCACCTTCTTGGGGGATCACCCCCACACCATGCAAACAAATCAATCAATCAGCACAAAGTATATTCTACCCATATAAGAAAATATTCGGTCGCGTCAGACATTGAGATGGTATGTTACGTGAACCCTCCAGTAGCTCTCTCGAAAGAGAGAAGAGAAGTAGGAGCACCCTCGAAACTTAGTCGTCCTTTTCGGACCCAGTAAATTTTTAAAGGTTTTTAATTTGATATGTATATGGAGATGATCTCAGTCTCAAATATTGTTCTAGGCGTGGGTGCGCGACGATCTGACCATATTGATGACGTATTATTCGCGGAGTGGCGACGCTGCGAGCCAGAATGGACTTCACTACAATCTGACGAGGCGCTTGTCAAAAACCAAATATTCGAAGGCATCTTCCAAAAAATACTAACCGAAACAATAGACGAATATAAACGGACGGTCCTGTGCGACCAATAAACAGTGAGAGTGAACAAACTAAAAGTGTTGTTAAGGTTTATTTGGGTGAACGTGTTATATTAAATTACTGTGCTAATCATTTTATATTTATTCGCTGACAGCTAGGTATAAGTAACGAGAGGTTATTTATTTGCATGTGTTGTCGTTGCGAGTAAGTGGTTTCATAATAATTTTAGAGCGTACACAGTTCAAGTATTAAATTATTTATTTCAAATAATAATTATTATTATTATAATAGAAAAATATCACATAGTTCTTATAGTTTCACACTGACTATCTAAATTGAAAGTACTCCCAGTAGCTTTGGCCACGATCGGGAGTGCTCTGACATTTCTACTTTCAATGAGCTGACTTGTATGAAAATTTTAAGATACTTAGATTTAATTCACATAATATAATCGCAATTGATGCATTCATGTTCATTATTTATATAATGATTAAATGAATACTCACAATTTGTATGATTAACTAGATAAGTCTCAATAATGCATGCCAAACTAAAAGTTAATTTTTGCATGAATCCTGATTTTATTGACTTCAAATATCAATCATTTTTTAATTAGAGATCGCTACTTTTTATGGACAGCTCCTTGAATGCAGATTACACAGAAAGCCATATTGTATTTGTTACTACTTCTAAAATAACTAGTGTACAGTTTTTACTGTAAAAGTAGTGTCTGGTGCCAACAAGATCACTAAAAAAAATTATTGCATGTCCAAAGTTGATGAAATTATATTGTAAGTTCCATGTCCAAAAATCCAAGATAAATCAGTTTACAAGAAGTATGCTGAGATAATCATGTATATCATGCCTGTATACAACAGATATCTTTGTCGCATATTATGTATAAAAATAAAGTTTACGTCTTGCACAGACAACACGATATCTGCCTACCTAATTATTTTTGTATAATATATATCTATGAATAAAATGTTATTCAAAGTTGTAAAACTGTGTTTGTATTTTATATACTCCGTAATAAAATTATACCGAGATTCTCTTATGCCAATATTTATTTACAAATCAAATAGCAGATTACATTAAAGTTAAAAAAAATAGAAAAAGTATCTCACAACATAAAACACACACAATCAGGAGTTTAGCAAAAAATATTTATAATAAATTGACAATTCTATACGTACTTAGAAGGTTGTTTAAAATCTAAAGTATTGTTATAACATAAAAGACTCGAGCCCTGAAGAAGGTAATGGAGCTCGCGTTAAAAGTAAGTAAATAAATTAAGTCAATAATACGAGTTCACGTTTTTGAGGATCTCATAGAAACTCAATGTTCTTTATACGTCCCGTTTTAATTGTCGTTCTCTCATTTAACTAATTTATAGTTTCACTAAGATTGTCTCTCGATTTAACACTAAACACTGGCATGAATGGATTTATAAAAACGAAAAAAATGTTAATACACTTTTGGTACATAGATTCTTCAATCATCAGCCTTTAGAATTGACTCTAGTGGGTTGGGGCCTTTTCTTCTAGGATTTGAGGGTGGCTTCGTCGATTCAGCTGTAAAATAAAACATTACATATAGGTGTAAATAAATGGTAGAGCTCCGTGGCGCAATTAATGTTTAACAATTTTCGCAATGGCCAATATTTATTAGCTCTGCCGTGCTTCTAAAGGTCCCGGCTGCATTTGCAGTCGTTAGCACTTACCAAAACGCATGAAGAACTCATCAAAGTTAACACTTACCAATACGCAGGTGGATAGCGCGTTTGGCCTGCGATCGTGGAAGTCAAGCAACTATCGTCATGCCCAGTCATTGGATGGGTGACCAATAAATTAATAATCTCGCGCTCCTTCGTGCTTCGGAAGGCACGTTATGCATTTCGTTCCGGCTGCATCTGCAGTCGTTAGCACCCACCAATTGCATTGGGCCTATGTGGTGGGTCAAGACCCAATCTCCGCATTTCATCTATAGGGAAGGCCTGTGCCCCAGCAGTGAGGACATTAATAGGCTGATGATAATTTATTAATTACCATCAGCCTATTAATGTCCTCACTGAACCCGCTTGGAGGTTCGTGGCACAATATAGCCTATTCCATCCATGGGAAACGCCTGTTGCAGGGGAGACTTTAAAGACTTGATGATGCAGTGTAATTAAGGAATAATAAGGCGCCCTTGATTGTTGTAATAGGTGAAAAAGAATTCTATTAACCCTAAACATTAACACACTTAAGTTTTTTCTCAAGTCGGTGGGTTTTGTACGAAAAGTTTATATACACTGTTAATTTACTTCAACAAGCAGGAAATAGGGAAATTCTGTATCCTCGCAGTGGGGACAATAAGACCGATGATGAAGGATGATGAGGAGCAAAAAGGATCTAGTGAGTATATTTAATTGATAATAACATAGAAAAATATATATTGGACTGATTATGTAAATTATCCAGCTGTCTTTAAATTTAAACGCGAACTACTGGTTGTTTGCTCGTTATGTATCTCACGTCCCTTATCTTTGATCGCACAATATTGCGTCCTATATTTCTGTCCATGGATTGCAATGCATGTAATGGACCAAGTTAACTTAGCGAAATGCTTCGTCTTATAATACTTACTGCTGGGCCCATGTGACGCCTGCGTGACTTCCAGGCAAGCCATCCATTCAGTAATGCTGATCTTCGTATCGTGGTTTACGTCGCAGTAACGCGGCAGTTTGCGTCCGCATCGCCGCAGCTGATCCACGTTGGCAATCAGCTGGTGGAACGCCTTCCACTCTCGCCGCTCCAACGCTTTGTTTTTGTCCTTATCTAACATCACGTAAGTCCAAGTCGCCGCTTGTTCCTCGTTGGAAGCGCCCCATCGCACCATTTCTCTGCAAAGAGTTAATAAAACCGTTTTCATTCTATGATTGACTAGCGGTCGCGACTTTGTCCGCGTTAACTTTAGTTTTTTGAAAATCCCTCAGGATCTTCGAATTCCGTTCAGTAGTTTTGGCACAGAACAGAAAGAGGTTGAAAGTGTGTGTACCTTTGGACGTGAACCGATGTCGCTATCAGGATAACGTCTATCAGGATTTTTCATAAGAGGGTAAAAAGGAGAAAAACGGGGTGAAAGGGATAGTAAATTTTACTTAGGAGTATTTTACTTCAGGGCTTGATTAAATCTGAAAAGGGCTGAACGAATTTGGATACTATTTGGCACACATATAATATGTAGTTTATTTCCTGGATTTTACGATACAACAGAGGATCATTTTTATCCCGATAAAACATTAGGTTACCGAGGGTTTCTCAAAAAACGAAAGTTAACGAGGGTGATTTTCTCAGACCAAATAAAAAGTAAAGATGGAGCCCGATAACAAAAATGTGAAGCCGATAAAACTACGCCTTGCCGTGTACATACACGGTTACACGCACACACATGCAACGAAACTATGCCTTGGCTTCCCAGTCGAGCTATCCCGGCGCGCGGAGTGTGACGTAATAATAAAAAACAATATTTATTAGAGAAAATGCCGAATTGTGTAGTGAAAACGTGTAGAAACCAATCTTCCAAGAATAAAAAACAGGATGGAATCACATTTCATACGTAAGTAAAGTTATAAACTAATATTTTCAATTAATCAAAATCAAATTTGAGGTTGTCGCTTTGTAAACAAAACCTGGGGTGTAAGGGGTTCTAAATACACCTGCAAGAACCCAAGCCAACCTCACCTTCACGTGGTGCACCCTGTCGACCAACAGACGAGGCTCTGGCAAACCGACCGATGGCGGTATAACCATCCAATGCCGTAGGGGAGGGAAATCTCACTGGTGACGGGCAGCAGCGTCATCAGTGAATTAACGTACGTTCTGCGATCGCCAACCCGCCTGCCCAGCGTGGCGATTACGGGCAATACCTCCAATGAACACAGACCACATGCCACGGCCCCCAGTTCCCGGCAGCCCCGCTATTCCCGGTCACGGTGGCGACCACGGTAACGGCGGGGCGGGGGGTGCTAAGAATCTCCGGGCTACGGGAAGCCACCACAATAGACTGACCCTGGCGACGTACAACGGATGCACGTTACGGCTTGACTCGCATCGGGCGCAACTTGAAGTGGAACTTGGGAAGATTAGGTGGCACATATTAGGGTTAAGTGAAGTCCGAAGAGAGGGGGAGGACACCCTAACCCTCGAATCGGGCCACCTAATGTACTTCCGCGGGGGAGACCAACAGTCTCAAGGTGGCGTTGGGTTTTTGGTAAATAAGTCAATTGCCGATAACGTTGTAGAAATGTCCAGCGTGTCGAACAGGGTAGTGTACCTTATTATAAAGCTCACCGAGAGGTATAGCCTCAAGGTGGTGCAAGTGTACGCACCGACCTCGACACACTCGGACGACGAAGTGGAGGATATGTACGATGATATATCGAGGGCCCTTTACTCCACAACTAAGACCCACTACAACGTTGTTATGGGGGACTTCAACGCTAAAGTGGGAGTACAGAATTGCAGGGAATCGGTAGTAGGATAGTAGGATAGTATTTGGAAGCAGAAATCATAGGGGGCAAATGCTCGTCAACTTCCTCGAACAGGAAGGGCTCTTCTTGATGAACTCGTTCTTCAAGAAACAGTCCACAGCAAGTGGGGAAGTTGTTGCTTCAAAGCCGGCAGTCCTTTCGGAAGTGGAAAACTTCTACGGCCAGTTGTACGCATCACATGCATCCCGACCCGGTCCCGGAAATGAGGATTCTAGAGCCACATTAACACGCCACTTCACCGAAGACCTGCCAGAAGTCAATATTGGCGAAATCGAGATTGCTCTTGGGGGGCTTAGAAATGGAAAAGCCCCTGGAGAGGATGGTGTTACAACAGAACTCTTGAAAGCTGGAGGTAAACCCGTACTGAGAGAGCTCCAAAAGCTTTTTAACACTGTCCTTTTCGAAGGGAGAACTCCGGAGGTGTGGAGTAGGAGTGTGGTCGTCTTGTTCTTTAAAAAGGGGGACAAGACCCTACTTCAGAACTATCGACCCATATCCCTTCTAAGCCACGTCTATAAGCTGTTCTCAAGAGTAATCGCGAACCGTCTTGCGGGAAGGCTTGATGACTTCCAACCACCGGAACAGGCTGGGTTTCGGAGCGGATACGGCACCATAGACCACATCCACACAGTACGGCAGATTATACAGAAGACTGAGGAGTACAATCAGCCCCTGTGCCTAGCATTTGTGGACTATGAGAAGGCCTTTGACTCTATTGAAATCTGGTCTGTCCTGGAGTCCCTGCAGCGTTGCCAAGTCGACTGGCGATACATCCAAGTGATAAGATGTCTCTACGAAGCCGCCACAATGTCTGTCGAAGTACAGAATCAGCAAACAAGCCCCATACCGTTGCATCGTGGAGTGAGACAAGGGGACGTTATTTCCCCGAAATTGTTCACTAATGCAATGGAGGATATGTTCAAGACGCTGAACTGGAAAGGACATGGCATCAACATCAATGGTGAACGCATCTCTCACTTGCGATTTGCAGACGACATCGTCATCATGGCAGAAACCCTGCAGGACCTACAAAAATGCTGAATGATCTGGCTGAGTCTTCTATACGCATCGGCCTACGGATGAACTTGGATAAAACCAAGGTCATGTTCAATGAACATGTACTACCGGAACCGATTGCAATACACGGTGCCGCTCTCGAAGTTGTTCAAAAATATGTATACCTCGGGCATTGCAGTTAGGTAGAAACAACTTTGAGGACGAAGTGAATAGAAGAATTCAGCTAGGTTGGGCAGCATTTGGGAAGCTACGTCAAGTCCTGACATCGTCGATCCCACAGTGCCTAAAGACGAAAGTCTTCAATCAGTGCGTCCTACCTGTAATGACATACGGAGCCGAAACGTGGACACTGACGGTACGGCTGGTCCACAAGTTCAAAGTCGCTCAGCGCGCTATGGAAAGGTCTATGCTCGGCGTTTCTCTGAAGGATCGCATCAGAAATGAGGTAATCCGACAGAGAACCAGAGTCATCGACATAGCCCACCGGATTAGCAAGTTGAAGTGGCAGTGGGCTGGCCATATTTGCCGAAGAACCGATAACCGTTGGGGTAGACGAGTTCTGGAGTGGAGACCGCGTCTAGGCAAACGTAGTGTAGGACGTCCTCAGGCAAGATGGGGTGACGATTTGCGCAAGGTGGCTGGCAGAAGCTGGATGCGAGTAGCCCAAGATCGATCTGAGTGGCGTGCAATTGGAGAGGCCTATGTCCAGCAGTGGACTAGGATAGGCTGTTGATGATGATGAAACAAAACCTGAACGAAATGCTGCCATGATTATACGTTACAGTTTTACCCTTTTGTTGGGTAGCGTGAAATATAACATAACGTTATAATTTTTATTATTTCTAAAGCATGTAACTGCTTGATGTTTAAATCTATAGAAAATATAACTAGAAATTTGTTTAATACTTGTAAAAGTATTCATTTGACATTGTGGGTTACCTATAATGCGAAGAGATGGCGCTGCCTTGCAGCTTAAGAATGGCTAGAAGAATTTCGACGCGGTCCGTGAGGGCCGCGGTAGCATACTTGGTCAGTGCATTCACCCGGTTTGCGAAGGGTTCGGGTTCGAGTCCCGACTGCTGCCTGGTCCGCGTGGAATTTTTTCTAGTTATATTTTCTTTAGATTTAAACATCAAGCAGTTACATGCTTTAAAAATAATAAAAATTATAAATAACGTAACGTTATTTAATTAAATACATTGTGTAGCATACTTTTATATTATTCGAATATTGTAATGCATGGATAAACAATTACACGGAACATCTTTATTATCTTTTTTCTTTATGTATTCGTATATTTTTTTTGGGATGTAATACACATTATATATTATACGTTTCTTTTACGATTTCCTAATCGAGATCAAAATCTAAAAGAGAAGTGGATTGCAGTCATTCGTAAGAGTAGAAATGAACCATTGTGGCAACCAGCTTCCCGCAGCGTGGTTTGTTCGTCTCATTTTCAGAGCGACGATTTGTACTACACAACAAAAGGGTTACGTCGTGTAAAATAAAATGCATATCCAAGGGTATTTTATTTACTTAACTTAATATGGTTACTTATGTTAATTTATATTTTAAAGATTCCAATAATTCTTCAGTCGTGCAGACGGTTGAAACACAAAATTACACCAATTTTATTTCACAATATTCACTATGAACGAATTAAAGTACTTACCTATAATTAAAATATGACGCTAACCGCACTCCATGAAATCCCGCCAAAAACCCCAAAGGTTAGCTTTGTTTTTATTATATATTTATTTAGTTAATTTTTATTAGTGTAACAGTTATTAAACTTAAAAATCACAGGAACCCCAGATCTCCAAGCGCAGGACCTTTGGCTCACGAGAGCTTGGATCTAGCGATAGTGTAAAACTAATCTGGACTAGTTTAGAGATAAGCATACGATAGTTTTTCTAATATTTTATAACGTCATTAATAACGTTATGAAATAACGTTCGCCGTCTTTACTTTTTATTTGGTCTGAGGTGAATTTAAGCAGATTTGAACTTTACCAAAACCTAACCTAACCTAAAAACCTGATAAAAACAAAAATGGAAAATACAGTCATTCAAACACACTGCATGTACGGGTTTTGTACACCTTTTATGATAAAGTGAGAGAAGAGAAAGTAGTATTTGTATCTTATAAAAGTATTTAGAACATACGTATCTTTTATCTAGTATTTCAAAGGCCGTATACAGAAAGAAAGCTGAAAGCCGACCAGTGCTTGTCAGCGCTGGTCCTTACCGGTAACCGACGCAGGCATTTCTATGTACCAGTGCCGATAAGCGCCGAACGTCGCCGACAAGTGCCGACACGGGCTGGTCCGCGCTGGCACCGCCCTTTGAAATTAATGAAAAACTACGCTTCAATCTGCTTCCTTTATGTAACTCTTATTAGTAAGGACCAGCGTCGACAAGCGCTGGCCGGCGTCCAGCTTTCTTTCTGTATACGGCCTTTATTTCAAAGGGCGGTGCCAGCACTGACCACTGACCAGCGCGTGTCGGCATTTGTCGGCGCTTATCGGAGCTGGTCCATAGAAATGCTTGCGCCGGTTACCGGAATGGACGAGCGCCGACAAGCGCTGGTCGGCTTCTAGCTTTCTTTCTGTATACGGGCAAATACTTTTACCAAAGGTATCTTGTATTTTATATTTTAGATACTTTTTTAAGGTATCTTTTACATCTCTGTCCGGTAGTAGATCTATGCATTTACTTAAAGCTTATTACTAAAAGCTTTATCATCTAATATTGTAACAGCGACTATTTTAATTTTAGATTTAACTCACCCAGGACCAGTGCCGTTAGTAGCTGCAGTCATCTTAGTTATGAAGAAATTTCTTAAATCGCGTAGGAACTTCGACTTTTCAGGACAACCTAAAAATTAGAAAGTTAAAAATGGTTAGAAGAACACACATGATTTATGCGTTCGATTCAACACTCGCTCGGGAAAAGTAGCCTAGAAGTAGGTATGGTGTTTTCTACTAACTTACTAATTAGTTAAATATTCCAGGGGTAACCCTTAACCCCTTTAGTATAAGGATACGGGTAACGCTCCCTATTGGAAATAGCGACAAGTAGGCTGCACGTAGGTCTGCGGATTACCCGACCTCGCTATCGCTAAAAACCTTCAAAAAAAGAGTATATAGGTACTTTTCACTTCTTCCTTAAAAGCCAGCATTATATTTGTTATACTTCTGGTATTGCAGATGTCTACGGGCGACGGTGATCAATAAAGTTTTTTATAGATAGGTCCGACAAATGACTCCACCCCACCTGATGTTAAGTGAAGGTGAAGTCCAGACGCAAAGATAGCTGATACAGCAGTTCTACCTGCCACACCAGCCATCCTCACCCTGCCGGCCTGCATGTTGCTTCTTCACGCCTCTTTTAAAGGATCCCAGGTTGTAAGAGGGAGGGAACACGTGAGCGGGCAGAGTACCGTCTGCTTGTTTTTAAATTTTAAGTTTGATTTAAGTTTTTGCTTTGTTTTTGTTTTTGCATAACAATAGAGTAAGATAACCTTGAATCTCAATGACATAAAAGTTATTTGATGTCTCTGCGTACGGGAGTTAGCACAGCGTTAGTGTAAATAAATCTGATCGAATGGTTACCTCTCATCGGGCTGGCGTGTTGGGGCGCCGCATCGCAGTCCGGCTTCCTGTCTTTGACCGAGGAGCCCGGTATGGGTTTGCCCGTGTCCTGGTGAACGCACCAGCAATATCCCGTGGATCGGTAGCATTGCGCGCGCGCGTATCTACCATCGCCCGTGCACTCTGGTACGTAGAGTACGGCGCCACCGGCTTTCTGCGTTTCAATAAAGAAGACAATTAATTTGCGACCGAAAACTAAATAACCACATTTACAGAAGACCACAGTAAAATAATACTTCACTTTGGTAGTGTTGTGAGACCCGAAGGCCATTTCTATTTCTTACTTAAAGAAAGGTAATCTTTACCTGTTCATCCAAGACGGCTTGGCGGTCAGTTAAACAGTCGTTGGCTTCGTCTTCACGCCGGGACTCGGCGTCCTGGCCGTCCGGTGCGAAAGAGTTCCTCATTATCCCTCGCATCACTATCCACATGGAACCGACAATGTTAAAATTCAGTTAAAACTCGTAGTTTTGCTAATAAATGGTTGGACTTAAATAACAAATTTAAACTTTGTCCTTTCTTCTATGTTAGATTGCTCCTCAAAATACTTTTGGGAACGGGAACGAACATTTGTATGGAAATTTCTTCGGGTAGATGTGAAGGTACATGCTCTACCTACTACCCTTTTGGCACAGCCGCCTTACTTTAGCCTTGCACTTTGGATTATTCTTATCCTATTTAATAATTACCTAATTCACTAATAAGATATGGCCACCAACAATATGGCTCTACGACTTTAGGGGACTTGTGGCGGCGCTAGGCGTCGGCGACGTCGGCCACCGCAGACGGCCTCGCGCTTCAGGGTGCCTCGCAAAAAAGTTTTACAAGTTACCTATTTATTTTCGTTTCTCCTGGCCTGGCTTAGGTAGCCGACCCCGAACAATTCGGGGAAAAAGCTTTATTATTTTTTTTGAACACGTGCGTGATGGAAGCGAGTAGTACTTTGCGGGTATTCAGAATAGTTTGTCTGGCAACACTATTTTTGTAATTAAATTTCTATGTTTGTAATTATTTTTTGTCATCATTTGATTATCAACAAGATAACTCGTTTACACATACGTTATTTTATAATTTGGCTCACTTAATTTAACGGTATTTTACTGCGAATTTAAATAGGCCTCGCGAACTTGATGTCGCCGACGTCCACGTGTGGTCTAGCGCCGCCACTGCTTGTGATTACTCAAATGATATAAAGATATTTCAAAAATTTACTAGGTAATGGAAGTTTCTTCACTGTGTAGGGTTTTTTTTAACCGAAGGATAGAATAACTGTACAGTTTCAATTAGCACAGAGATAATAGTTGTTCCTACGGACGGTCTTGTTTGTTAATGATATTCACACATCGTCAATCCGTTTTCTTTTGTTGTCAACCTTTTAGTCTGCATCCTGCATCTCTTTAGAATATAGTATCTATTCGTTCTGATAAATAAATTAACATCTTTTTAAGTGGTTACCATCCTCGTCATTCTGAAATTAGGAGAGATGCTATCAAATGATAGCAACTCTTTAGGGGAGTAGGTACCTATTCGGCTTTAATAATTGATATTTTATAATTCTTCCTCGATAATTCGGTACCAAAGTATCCACTTGATTGGATCTCTCCTGGTTTAGTTTCATAATAGACGTTGAAGCTTTAGTTGGATAAAGAAATCACCTGCGCTCGGTTCTGGCGGTGGTTCCTCTTCGTTATAATCGGGCTCCGCTTCGGGAGCGCTGTCCTCGTCTGCATTCAACGACATGAAGAAACGGAGAGAGACTATATATTATTATTATGTTTGCACACACATTAGCATTTTTATATTAACATGCAAACTAAGTCAAGGATAAGCGCTAGAGGCGATGACCGAAAAGAGTTTGGGAAAACATCTTATTGATCCGTTAATAAAAATGTCTCACTGCTCCGCGTAGATTGTTGAACTCGTTATTTCATTTCGAGTTTGACAACCTGCTGTGGATCGGTTAGTACACATTTAGTATGTATCGTCTAGATTGTTGATTGAATTATGTGTGAAATGCGGATATATTATGTCCTCGATGACCTTACTTAGGTACTATTATTATCTGGTTGATGATACTTACATATTAGATGCAAAAAGTCTTAAGTGTTCCTATTTTTTTAATGTTCACTTATTGAGATTGCATTCCTTTGGCATATATGCGAAATGAGTGGGTTTGCGGCTTTTGTGAAACGAAATTGCTGAGATATTTGTCTCTATACTCTATAGGTAAATTAAATCCTAACAACTTCCTACTTTAAAGAACTATGTCTCTTCACCAACTATTTGGACTCAACACAGACGTGTAAATAACCCTGCTGGAGTCGCACCTGCTTGGCCTATCGCCACGAAGCTTCGTGCTATGATGTTATCCCACACCTGACGAAGTGGCGAAGCTTCGCGTGGCTTTGGTACTCTTTGAATTAATTACGCTCCTTCAGCTGCATATATAAATTTATCGTTTTCCACAACCTCTTTAGCGTTTTAACTTATCGCCAGATAAGAAAACAGAAGGGAAAAGCACTGTAGTTGTTGTACCAGCTGGTATACACAAACCATTGTTTAGTTTTTTTTAAACTAGTTTTGGGTTACAATCAAACTTTTAAGTTAAAAGTACCTTTTCATAGTATCTACTTTATAGCTGATCGATGACAAAAGCCGGCTGCAATAAACTATTGATATTTTTCCTACAAAATTAATACCTATTTCTAATATATTTATCTATTAACTTCTTTTAACTTTTTGGTTAAAATGACATCTGTTAATTAGTACTTATATATTAAATATCGACAAGTGTATTAGGAACTTCTCTTTGAAGGAACAAAATTTTAAAAATATTATAAAACCGAAGCAGTGTCTCTCTAAGCTAGTAATAAAATTAGTTCAATGCAATTCGCTTTTTCGGTCCTCCTATCGGCTGCAAACCACGGAACCATACGTGTTGACACGCTGATGACGCATTCCTCAATTGCTGTAAGGTACAGCTCAGCACGATCTTGCATCAAAGGGTTAGCAAAAAAAAATTCTCTACACATTTTGATTTAATAAAGTAATCGTTTTTTTATTTAACTACGCAAGGAGATGACATGAGCATAAATCTACTTTTTTACAAAGGTTTTTAAGGATATTTGATAAAAGTTTACATCATCACATGACTTCCGCGAGCGTATACTGATTCGACCCCTATTTATTAACACTGAAAACTGCTTGAAATTTGGGTGTATCGGATCATTTCCATAGAAATGACACGCAAGCAGTTTTGAGTTAATGTCACCATCTTATTCCGGATTGCTGTTGAATTTCATAATAATAAGTACGTTATTACGTTAAATAGATTCTTTAATATCCATGCTTCTTTAAAAATCCAAATCTAATTTCTTTGAAAATACCTACAGAATCGTGATGGCAAAGTTCTCATTATACTTATACGTTGTACTTACTTTTGCCTTTAACATAGAAGTTGAATGGGAAGGAAATGATTGTTGCTTTACCATAGACACATATGAGCAAGAGCGAACGAGATATAGTGCATTTCCTGATAGTTGAAAAAACAAACGTTATTTTTTTGTTATTTATTATGTTTCTTTTACTACAACGAACAGGGTTCGATTTGAAGCGTGAAGGATAGATGTACTCGTATAGGTGATTATTAGATGCAGAAAACAGAAAACTCACAAATCAAGCCATCAATCACCATACGATCGAGCATACCAAGATAATGTGCTGTTATTATAATTGTACTAGAACGATAAGCGTATCGTGGAGCAAGCTGTAAAATCAAAAGACAATGTGCTGTTATAGAATGTGCTAGAATAACTAAGCGGGTATTGCGGGGGGTAACTGCGCTGATATACTCACAGTCCGGTGCTGGCGGTTCCGGGTTGACCAGCAAGCAGGCCACCCACTCCTCGTGGGCTATCTCTCCGTCGCCGTCGCCGTCACAGCCGCGAGCCCAGGCGCGGGCGCAGCGTTTGGGCTTTACCACCTGGGGGAGCACTTCCACATAAGCTTTTTTCATATTAATGTTTTTATTTATATTAGACGGCCACTCGAGACTTCGTCCGCGTTAGCTTTAGTTTTTTGAAAATCTCACATAACCTAACGTTTTTCCGGGATTAAAAGTAGCCTATGTCACAATCCAGATCATAAACTTTATGCGTACCTTTCATCCAAATCCATTCAGTAGTTTTGGCGTGATTTGAGTAAAAAAAATGCAAACATACAAACTTTCCCATTTATAATATTAGTAGGATAGCTTTTATGTTGTGCGTAGAGCATGAAAGGTCTGCATAATAAAAAGCCCGGCATGAGATATAAGAATTAAAATACAAAAGTACCTGAAAGTTCACTGATCGGTTTTACTTTCTAAGTACCTACTTACAAGGGAGAATTCTATGTCTTTTATTTATGTGACAATCTAGCATGGGGGAACAAAATAGCGTAGACGCCAAAAGTACTTATAATTTCATATCATCATCAGCCTATTAATGCCCCCACTTCTAAGAAGGGAGGTCGGTCCATGACCCACCACGCGGGCCCAGTGTGGATCTTTTGATGCAGCTGCGACCAATGGCTTAACGTATCTTCCGAAGCAAGTCCAAATGCGCTGCTATAGAAATGCAATTAATTATATTGTTATGAAATTATCATATTTGACGTCTATGGATTCACAAAGGACCTCTGCAAAGGACACATGGGAAAAGACGTCCCCAACCCCAACAGTTTTTTTTTAATTTTTTTTATTATATTTATTTATTCTCTTTATTACAGTGGTCTGATTTATGTGGTATGTGTTTTCTGCCTGTTTCTTTATTGTTTTGTCAGACCTAGGGTGACGCTATTCCATACGTCCCCGGGGGCTGGGGCTGAGGGGTGGCTGCAGCGCTGCTCCTCCTTCTTCTCCTCTTCGGGCATCACACATGGATGAAGCACTGTTTCTTCGAGCCGTGGTTCTGCGAGTAACATCCTGGTGGGAGGGGGTGAGGCAGGATGAGGGTCTGCCATATTTGCCCTCCAACAGATTTGAAATAAGTGTCATTCGATGCGTCTAGTAGGATGAAGGATAGATAATTTCTTACTATGGGGACATACTTCAAATAAATGGGGTTTAGGTTTTATAAATTCTATAATGCCCTGCTGTTTAACGTATTAATTTGAAGAAATAGGTTATAGTGGGTCACCCTTAAAAGATAGACATTATGATGTTGTGGACTTTTTGTAGAACCCTTAAAGGAGAACAATTCCGTCATACATGATTTTTGTGTAACTTTTACCGTTTCGGCAGCGCACGCAACGGAAGCTCTCAAATGGAATATTATTTACCGTATTTGCAACATCTTTCACTGTTTCTCCGCTTCTTTTGGTTATATCTTTATGTTAATAGCTTATAAAATTCCTCCATAAATGCACTATCCAACACAAAAATTATTATAACGTAGTTCATGACTTTATGTAAAATGAATTAAATAGAACCTGATAAATCCAAAGGCAAATCCAAGCCAACCCAAGCAGTAAATGGCAACTCAGATCTACCAATACGCTGGGCCCCTACTTCATATTATTTTTGACTTTAAATGTTAATTTTTTTAGTGATTTTTATTTTTGTTAAAATAACGTTTTATTTTTCACTTTTTATAAGCCAGAGTAAGATCAACTCAGTAACTACTTGGTACCTGGACTGCATTATCTCTTAAAATATCCAAACACGAATTGAGTACTGTTTGTAATTCAGGAGTCCATTATTTTCTCCGAAAGTACTGATCAGACCCTCACCAAATTAATACGCGACCATTTCGCCAAAGAACTGATTCAAACAAAAAAAGAATCATCAAAATCAGATATAGGCGCGAACAACTATAAAAAAGAACCGGCCAAGTCGAGTCGGATTCGCGCGCCGAGGGTTCCGTACGAAACTGTAGGAATATTTACGATTTTCGCAATTTTTCCTTTATCTTTGCTATAAGACGTTACTTCGTACCAAATTTCAAGATTCTGAGTTCACGGGAATGTTGGTTTTGATTCCCTTGCGAGTTCCGAAAATTTGCGTCATATACGGTTGTATGTAGGTTTATGTTTATGAAATTAAATGTTTTATTTTATTTTTATATTTGAGTTGATTAAATGACAGGTAAATTGCGGATTACGATTTATGACGTATTAAAAAAAGCTACTTACAAGATCTCGTTCAAAATAATTTTCGGTTGAAGTTTGCATCTAATGTACATCATATATTGTTTTTAGTTGTATCATGCTCTTATTTTAGAAGTTACAAGGGGAGGGGGGGGGACATTTTACCACTTTGAAGAGGTGTCCCTCGCGCAAACTATTCAGTTTAGATAAAAATGATATTAGAAACCTCAATATCATTTTTACAAACCTATCCATAGAAATGCCAAACGTATGGGTTTGATAAATACATCTACTAACCAAGTTTTAACGGTATAGTCCTTATAGTTTCGGAAAAAAGTATCTGTGACATACAGTCGGGATTGCCATTTGGCTACGGAACCCAAAAAACATGTAATCACAAATTGAGAACCTCCTCCTTTTTGAAGTCGGTTTAAAACGTACATTAAGTAAAACATTGTATTTGTATTGTAGTTGTAATATTTCAACTCGAGACCATTTTGTAAGAAAATAAACACATTTTTGTGTGTACGAGTTTAATAATTAAACCTCATCGATTTTTCAATTAAAACAAGTGTTTTGCCTCTTTTTGAGTACGAATGAACAAATCGACATTTATTCTGTGTCTGTTGCAGGGTGGGGACGGGGTCCATACAAAATCCCCCATGGTCCTTTACGAAACAATTTTATTTAGTTAACCGAAGTTTGTTTGTCTGACTTTAAGTTTCAGGATAGCTTATGACTAAACTTTACTGTAATATTTCCGTTATACCCATTTCACTGTATTATTTTAAGTTTAGATTTCTGTTGAACCTTTTTTATAAGCCTCCTGAGTCCCCTGTACTCGGATTTCCGCAGGGTGTCACTCTTGTCCCGGTCTAATTCTCTGAACTTCCAGTCGGCGACCTCTCTTGGCTCTGGCGGGGCACTGTTGGCGGGCCTGACCCGTTCGTAGTCTCCTCCAAAGATCTTGATCAAATTCCCGTTAAATAAGGCACGGTCGGTTCGAGTGCAACCTGGTGAACATAGAGAAAGCATAATTTATAATTTTGATTACCACATTTTGGAATCAATATTTTATTGCTAAAGCTGCACGTAGGTCAATTTTATGACTTGGTTATTAAGATAAAAAAACGTTTGTATGGGTAACTGGTCACCACACGGGACCGGGGAAGGGATATCACAAAACTTGGTATTGAAGAGGTCATTGTCAGATTGGCGAGTGCATTTGATATAAAGTTGAACCTATCGATTACCTACGTGCAATGGAGAGCTGCTAAGCTGCGTACGGATAGCGCGTTCACTCTAGAGGAAGGCGTACCACAGGAGTTGACTCGCTGGCGGTGTACCTGGACGGTAGCTACCGTCCAGGTACACCCACTATAAACCAGAGTCCACGTGAACCCCCAACATGGAAAAGGAGGGATCTTCCGCCTGAACATACATACACGAGTTTTTGCTTGGAAGAACTCTTCAAGCACGTAGCCAGGATAATTTAGGGAACCTGTGGTAGCGGGCGAAAGTATTTGTGTCGCCATCAGAAACAACAATGCTAGCCGTGCTGTCTCAAGATGGTGGTGGACAGCGTTGAGGTTTAAGTGGAGGCCGCATGTATTGTAGAACTCAACCTCAACCAGCGCGGAAGACGTGGGGGTGGGCAACACTGTACGTCCAAAGTTTGTTTTTGTAGCTGCTATTGTGGAGGATGAAGAGACATAAAACGAATGGAAAATTGCGGGCAAATTAACGAGACTTGTTTCCCCGAGTGACTTTCTAAAGAGAAGATGCACCGGTCGGCCGGACGGAATGGCCCCGTATCCCCCGGCAGTGGCTACTGGTGCCCCAAGCCGCGGATCCCTCCAATCCACCATGAGATTATGCGTAGCATGATGGGGCAGCCTCGCGAACTGGTAAGGAACGCTCGGTCCCTGGACTATGCCACAGGTGGCCAGCGGGTCAGCCGTTTCTACGGGTTTCCCTGACCGGCGGATCGATGCAATCCTCTCGGCATCGATTCGAAGGATGCCTCCCCTGGGCCGAGTCTGTCGGGGAAACGGCCACTCAAGCTCTGGTTGTACGCTGGCTTACCCCGAAACCCACTCAAGGAGCACTTCACGAGTTTTACAACATGCACACGGTACTTTTTTAGTACCATGCATCGGTCATGCCCTAAAAAATTACACTCTTTTTGGTATAGCCGTGTAAAAATGCAAAAATCAACTCACTTCTTTTATTCCGCTGACCTCGAACAGATGAACGTCGTCTCGTATGTGATTTACCTGCGAAAAGAAATGTTTCTATTAGTCTAGGAAATTAAGCATTTTGTCTCGCAATTTTTTCGTCCTACATGTTTCGGTTTACACGAATTAATTAAAAAGTATCCATTTAAAAAAAGCTGTAGAGATTAAAATTTAGCAAAATAATGAAATTGATAATACATATATCAGTCAGTAACATTTTTAATTAATAACTTTGTTTAGCTATTAATTTGTTTGGGGTTCTTAACACTTATTTTCAGCAACTTTAAGTGTTGAAATATTCATAAATTTATTCAATAGCATAAAACAGTCATTATTCAACTAATACAAACAAAATTTTATCCATTTTAATGTTTAAAATGTAATTTTATAAGTTTTTTGACAATAATGGGTAATTTATACCCTTAAAAAACAAACAGCGCTCATCGGCATAATATAGATTTTGAAACAGAGGATAATATGAGCCTCATTCCAAATTATTACGCGAATCGATGCAGGATGAAAAAACGAGGTTTTATTTCCTGGACTTTATTGTTATACTTGAATTTACTTATTAACAAACAATTTCAATTAAGCAACCATCAATAACGCAGCAACGGTAATAACCATGGGCATAGAATTTCGCTAATATTATAGGTCTATGGTAAAAACAACGTTTTGGCAAGGGTCGGTTAAAGCCGCAAAGAGAAACTGTTCCTAAAATTTCAAAAATAATAAGAATTCCACACAGTCAAAAGCTAATTAGAAGATTAATAAGTATAAGATAAATTAATGAAAATGTAACAAAGGGGAAAGTCCAACAAATAATTGTTTTAAATTGCGGGTGTGACTCAAATAGTATGTATCTCTACCAGTATGGATTCGTCCGTAGGGATATATGGAATGGGGGAAAATTACTAGCAGGTTGATGCATTATTAAACATGTCGTAAATAAATTAATCATAGTCATTTTAGCACAGGATATAAGTATGTCATTTTGTGCGTCACATTATGCATTCATATCATTACTTGTTACCTTAACTATGCAGCAGGTAAAGTGACTTACATACTGTCTGGGAATAATATTCCGAAGCTCAGTTAATAATAATTCGAAAATTGCTGTAGGTTCCAATTTATTAGCATAACTATAATATTAATGGAAATAATTATAATTTCATAATAAATTACAATTTCATACATTGGTTTGCGTAATCCACACTTATGTTTCAGCTTATTGTTTGTAATTACCCTTATGAAATCAAAATATGTATTTAATACTGAAATATTGTTTTCAGAATATTGTTATTATATAAAAATAGAAATTCATTAAATATTGTAAATCTATTTATTTAATTATAAACTTTTCAGGCTCTTAATCGAACATATTCAGAAGTTTTTTTTTTTTAGAAAAATCTGGGTTTCTGGTAGCTCTAAGATGGTTTAATTACTGGGCTCATAATAATTAATCGTTAGTTCCTTCATATATGTGTAGTTAATTAGATCGGCTATAGTACGTACAATCAATGCGGTACACGGGACATATTTTACTTTTATAAAGAGGCTGGGCTATGCAAGGAACAGAAACGAATTATATTTTACTGAAATACACAAAATTATACAAATTTTATAAGTCTGCTACCTTTCTACTAGGGGAGAGGTAAGGTTACTTTTTAGATCTAAGCTCTAACAGTTAAATACACAGCTAAAGCTTTAAACAGTTAAATCTATATTTATTGAACTTAGCGCGTGATAAAACCACATTGTTTAGGTAATTATCATCACATTAAAGGAAAGACCGACCATCTTTTTTTTTATGTGTATACTGTTGGTCGCAGATGATCTTTACAGAGTGAGATCCTTAGGCGACCTCAAGCCGAGAATTGGCGAGTGCCTCTAGCTGGAGGTATTCCAGGCGGATGGCATCTCCCCACGGGAGAAGTCTCCTTTCCGTCTGGAGTCTCTAGACCACTCGAACCTGAGGGGGCTGACCACCTGTTATTATTACCTCTGTTAGTGACAAATTACACGCTTTGTGAAAATTTCTAGAGAGCTTATAAGTATCAGACTATCAGTACATGTGTGTACTGTGCGTACTTAAACAGTTACAATTTATCGAATGATCACATGCTAGATAAGCAATAAAAGCAAAATTACTATATAAAAGTTGAACTAATGAATGGTTCCTTACTATTAACTTCATTATACACTTAACTGCCAGACACATCTATCGGCCCACTTAGTGTTATAATAAAAGTTTCAACGCTATATAGCAAAAATATATTATTCTTGCAATAAGGGGTACGCGAGTTTGAGATCTTTCTTGGAATGGTACGTAGAAAAGAATAATTGGGAACCTATGCACTGTGTAAGTATCATTGAAATTTCCATAAATTAACATAACAGGTCATGCGATGGGATTAGATCAATATATGTGATTATTCATAGTCTATTACCTAGTCATGGTTATTGTTTGAGTTAATGTATAATACGACAATTCTCAAGTTTAAGTATACACACACATTCTTAGTTAATGCCATTATAATTAAGGTCTCTGCCGACTACACCGTTTCATACCATGAACGTGCTAGGACCGTATCAAACACGGAAACTGCCACGAAACGGCTTGCTATGCCCACTGAAACGGATCGACGGCGTATAATGCTCGTATGTTGCCGGTGTGCACCCCGTATGATGACCGTATGTAACCCGTATGTTGCCTTTGCGTAATTTGTATGACGTCTTCACTAAAAACGATAAGAAGCCGTTTCATTCTTACATGTGTATCGGTAATGAATGGAGGTCTGCGGAGTGCTACCAAGTTTTAAATACAATAGGTATGGCTATTAAAACATTAACTGTTAGACAACTGGCAATGATTGCCATAATATTGGATGAGGAAGAAGAACAGAATCAAAAAAAACCACTCGACGCTACTGGATTCACGATTCTATAAAAGAACGAAAAACTGAAGGAGAATTTTGGACGTTGTATAAGCACTTAGTTGAAGATGTAGAAAAGTTCTTTCAGTACTTCCGGCGTTTAAGACGCCTATATAACGGTCATCATACGCGGTTCTAACTCGTATAGTCACCGTTTTGTTGCCTGCGCGCATCGGTTTTGCAACGTCGCGTGCCATGCGTGGAGCGTATGGGTGCGGCCAGAGTGCACTTAGATTCAGATTCAGATTCTGAAAACAAGCGCGAGAAATAAACAGTGTAGTCTAAGCAGGTTGCTGCTTTTTCTCGCGCTTTGTTTTCTGAGTCTGAATCTGAATCTGAATCAGGAGTGCACTCTGGCCGTACCCTTCGACTACACTGTTTATTTCTCGCGTTTGTTTTCAGATTCAGACTCAGAAAACAAGCGCGAGAAATATACAGTGTAGTTTAAGCAGGTTGCCTGCGGCCACTATGGCCACCCTGCTTTAACTACACTGTTTATTTCTCGCGCTTGTTTTCGGAATCTGAATCTGAATCTGAGTGCACTCTGGCCGTACCCTATCGGCACCGGCAAAATATTCTCGCCGACAATAGTAGCCGCCGGCTAGTGGGCATTGTCTCATACTTTTTAATACAAAGAATATTTTTTTACCTGACACGTTCATGGCACGGTCAGTAGTGGGTAGAGACCTTTAAAGTACTTGAACTTGTCATTTAATATGCTCCGTCTTTATGGAAAAACCACATGAAATCTATTTATGTTAAACAATAATAGTTATGTACTTACATAGATGATGAAACGAGTTCATATTCGATTCAGAAAAAAACTCGAAAGTGTACGATGGTTAATACCTATTAACGATTACGATTTAGTGATACTGTAATATTTTTTCTGTTAGTTTTTTTACTTAGGTATTTAGCTAATAAAAGAGCTTGAACATATAGCAAAGGAGATTGCTCAGCTTCTATACATGTTTGGCCTAAAGACCAATAATCATGAAAAATTGTTTCCTAGATTCGAAATTATGTATAAATTACTGTAGAAACGAATATTATTGACGGACACCCCTGAGAACTTCTATAAACCATATACACTGAACATATTAAAATAATAAAAAACAAATAAGTTATATAGTAAACTAGGGAAATCAAGCCAAGTACCGAAATTATGGATTAGATTCAGGTATAAAGCATGTAGATTAACAGATAGTTGCCTATTTTTAAAGTTAATGAATAAGAGTAACTTTTAAAATCAGGTGTGATTTCCGGTTATAATAAGATACTCTGTGGCAGAAACTGTGTGATGATTGTGAATGAGCCACAGATAAGAGAGAATTTTTAAACTCTAGTTGACCAAAGAAAGCTAAGAGATTTAGGTTCTATAGCCGTATATTCAGTAGCTTCATTATTTTTGTTATGTTTTTAAGATAACCATATTTTAGATTTTAAGTGTATCACATACTTTTTTTTTACCTTGTAATTTTATTTATTTATCAATTTATAGTCAGGGAACGTAGGCCCATAGATAGATACCTTAAAGTCTAACATATATACAGATTATAATGCGTTTATGGAGGTGTTTGGCGAAAAATGTATGGCAATAGACTTTATGATGTCGCCTACCATCTATAATAATTGTCTGAGCACATTTGCATCTAGTGAAAATGATAATATAGTGGTGGATATTAATACTACAGTGTAATAAAAAAAATATTTATTTTATCGATCTTTACAATTATATTACATTACATTACAAAGTTTATATTACAAAGTTTTTATGTTATATAAACAACTTCGATCAGTCTTTGGCTGAATGTTACTACACCCATAGCCATTAAAAATGATTCGTATGTTTTCCAAACCGGTAATATTATAAGTCCTTTTTAAAGTAAATATATTATACAAAGGTGTCCGTTGAAATCTAATGACTGTAAATTTAATTATAAATTACGCCAAGAATTACCGTGTATGTCAATATTTTTTGTGCATTTAGGCCAATTTGAGCAATCTCCTTTAAAAGCAAACATAATGTAATGCTGAGATGTAATGGTAATGGCATCAATTAAATTATTTGTTACAACATCCCAAAATATTTTATGGCTTTTG